AGGCACAAGAGATGCTCCTTACAACAGTATAGTTTGTTATAAGAGTCTTAGGCGGGGCTTAAATCATAGTTCTTTGTTTTCTGTGTGAAGAAAAAAAACAAGAATTTAAGAGTCAATGAATAAAACAAGTAACTCTATTGACTTATAGGGGATCGTCTGAGACAAGAGTGTCAGGTGTAAATTCAACAGCAGGACTTCAGATGGTTGTAGGTCAGAGGTGGTATTCAGCAGGTTTTGACCAGTTCTGGAGAACTGGTAGAGGAAATTTTGAGTAGTTCGGAGGACCGGTAAATACGACCTCTGACTAGCCCCGCCCCCATCTATTCTCTGCCTCCCAAGTCCCAGCTGATGGGGAGGAAATGGGGATTTTGCAGTATCCTTCCCCTGCCACGCCCACCAAGACATGCCCACCAAGACATGCGACGCCCACCAAGCCACGCCCACACAACTGGTAGTAAAAAAATTTGAAACCTACCACTGTTGGGGACCCCTGTTCTATTCGAACCCGCTGCTCAAGCAGGAAACCCTATACCATTTCAGACAAATGGCTGTCCAGTCTCTTCTTTAAAGCCTCCAGTGATGGAGCCACCCACAATTTCTGGAGGCAAACCATTTCACTGATTTATTGCTCTCACTGTCAGGAAATTAGTTCTAGGTTTACTTAGAATTTATTTACAAGGGCATAATTTTATGCTTTTCCCTGGCAGAGTTCCTAACACTTATACACAAATATTGACTAGATCAGAAAGGAGCAAATTTTCACTGGTCTTGACCATAAATGAAGCTTTAAGCTACAGGCACATCACAATACTTATGAGGTTGCGCCCTCCACTGTCGCAGAAAAATAAGAGATGAATTTCGAAATCAGAAAAAGCTTTATTTTGGCCAAAAGGTTCAGATCAGTGGTGGGTTCTTCCCGGTTCGGTCCGGTTCATCCCAGCCGGTAGCGGTGATGATATGATGTCACCGAACCAGTTCTTCCCCCCGCCCTCCCCCCCACCCCCCCCACGTTATTCTTACCTTTTATTTGGTCCCACCCCCAATCTATTGCTGCCTCCTGAGTCCCAGCTGATGACTAGAGGGAAAAAACCTGTTTAAACTCTTGCCGCCGGGGCTTCAAAGGGCCGCCCTACAGCTGATCAGTGTTAAAAGCAAACAAATGAGTCGGGTCGTAAGTGCGAGGACTGGTTGTAAGTGCGAGGACCTTCCAGAAATGACTCTGACCAGCTAGCCACGCCCACCTAGTCACATGACCTCCAAGCCACACCCACAAAATAAGCCACACCCACAGAACCAGTAGTAAAAAATTTTGAAATCCACCACTGATTTGGGGGTTCTCCGAACTGCACATAATCTTAGTTAGAGGTTCTCCCGAACCCTCAGCAGCTCACCCCTGCTTGTGATGTCAATTTTGAAAACGCAACGCTACCTTTTTAAAAGTGCACAAACCAGACCTTTTTTTTATACTGTGCAAAGATTCCGCAAGGATGACATAATTTATAATTGCCTGGTGCCTTTCTCTGAAATGAAGCTTCCCCTATCATTAAATCATTATAAGGCATTTCATATGGGCTGTAATGATATAATTCTTGCAAGTGGTTTAAGAATCATTAACAAAGCCAGACGACAGATTCTGTCCCACACCCTGTGCTCCGGACTTGGCCCCTAAACCAAGTCTCACTGGGGATGTGAATCCAGTCTTAGATATCATAGACTCATAGAGCAAGAAGGGACCTTGGAGGTCTTCTAGTCCAACCCTCTGCTAAGGTAGGGATCTTATGCCATATCAATCAAATGACATGATAGTAGTGTTATCTCAGGGGCTGCCACAAAGAAGAGGGAGTCAAGCTATTCTCCAAAGCACCCGAGGGCAGGACAAGAAGCAATGGGTGGAAACAAATCCACCCATTAGGAGAGAAGCAACCTAGAACTAAAAAGAAGAGATTTCCTGACAGTTAGAACAATTAATCAGTGGAACAACTTGCCTCCAGAAGTTGTGAATTCTCCAACACTGGGAGTTTTTAAGAAGAGATTGGACAACTATTTGTCTGAAATGGTATAGGGCAGTGATGGTGATTCATTTAACTACTGTGACAAAAAGTTGTAAAATGGGGCAACTGTCTTGCTTAGCAATGGAAGTCTTGGGCTCAATTGGAGTTGTAAGTCAAGGACTACCTGTACTCACTAGTTGCACGAAGGAATATCTAGACTTTTTATAAGACCCATGGTGGAGCAGTGGTTAGAATGCAGTACTGCAGGCAAACTCTGCCCATTGCCAGAAGTTCGATCCTGACCAGCTCAAGGTTGACTCAGCCTTCCATCCTTCCGAGGTCGGTGAAATGAGGACCCAGATTGTTGGGGGCAATATGCTGACTCTATAAACCACTTAGAGAGGGCCCTAAAACAATATGAAGCAGTATGTAAGTAATATTGTTCTTATCAGAAGGCTATATATAATTCTTCTTCCCTTAAGCTGTCAACCAGAGAGAGATGCAGATATTATATTATGTCAATATGCATGTACATGTTTTTAAATGACTTCTACCGCCCGCTCCAGGGAAATTATATATATTTTATGCAAAATATATCCTGTATGTTATCTTCCATCATCAGATGACCATTTTCATTCTCCTGACGGTCTTATGAGTCCCAACAAGGACAAACCCAGTCTCATGGTGCCTCCTGGTGGTATATATACAGTAGGACCTCTGGTCACGACCATAATTCATTCCATAACTTTAGTCGCAACCCAATTTGGTCATGACCCGAACCTAATTTTGGAAATTTGGTACTTACAAAAAAAAAAAAAATGGTGCGGATGGGGAAATCAGCCATGAAAAAAAAAAAGTGAATTTTTGGGTCGGAACCCGATTTGGTTGTGGTCAGAAGCGTTCGTGACCAGAGGTTCTACTGTACTGTAGAATTGATTTATAAGGAAATCCTGTGGTCTTTGGATCGCGCATTTTCTTAGGTCTTCATTCTTCCCCAAATCGTAGTAGTGCTCAGTCTTTACCTACTACTGAATTTATTTTATTTTTATTTATTTAGTTTGTCAAACATGTACAAGATAACAGATATAAGTATAAACATGGACATGAACACAGGAAATGAGTACAAATAAATGGGGACAGTAGGACAGGGACGATAGGCACGCTGGTGCGCTTATGCACGCCTCCTTTATGGACTTCTTAGGAATGGGGTGAGGTCCATGGTAGACAGTTTAAGGTTGAAGCTGTGAGGGTTAGAGGATGTAACAACGGAGTCAGGTAGTGAAAAGTGGTTTATTCTATTAGGTAATATGTATTGATTTACTCTTCTAAACATTTAAGCTTAGTAATAGTTAATTTTTGCCTTGGAACAATTAATGCTAAACAAGCAAGACAAAAAGGCAATAGCTGAGTATAATCATGATGATAATGATAATCCTATTCATTCAATCAAATCCTGTCTATGCATCAGTTGTATAACGACAAGTATAACAACTATTGCATTGCTTGCAAATTTGGCTGTTTAAATGGACAAGATGATTTATTAATAAATATCTCCAAAAGAAACCATAAAATTTGACAGTAAGACTCAACAATTCCATCGGGTCAGAAAATGAATAAAGCTATGCTACTTAACCATGTGAGTTATTGGATAACAGCTCATAAAAGGACAGAAAACTCTATAAATTATTTAAAAACCTGACATCCTGTACGCAGGGCTGGAAGTCTTATGAATATCTACCCTTAAAACACATTATTCAGAATATGTAAAAAAAAAACAAAAACCAAAAAAACCCTACAGCCATTTGTACAGTCAAATGTCCAAAATGGAAAGGTGACTCAGATTATTGTGGATGAGAGTGTCAAAAGTGAATTGAACCTTGAAATAGATGGAGCTTCGATTACACTGCCATCTTGATTTTTTTTAACCATGCCCTGCAGATATTTCTGATTGCCAGGGTGGATATTGGCAAGTATTTCCAGGTCAGATCAGTACAGAGATTGAACCAGACCTGCCAAACTTCTCCAAATACCTAGTCCCCATTAAAACTGGTATCTCGCAAAATTCCATTTCAACTATAAATGATGTTGTTGTCAGCTGCCACTTTATGATTGTGTGTGCTTCGCTACTATTCACTGACAGACCGCCATGAACTCTGGGGAATGGAGAAATGTAACAGAGAAAGCTTGGGGGAAAACGAAAGTAAATGCTGTATCTCCTCCAGATGCTGCTTCAAGGTCAAGAGGCATACCAGCTGCATACCAAACTGTGCCTGAACTCTCTGTTAGGAAAACATCTTGCCTGAACCTCATTCGTTGCCTGGGGATAAGTAGTGGGATGTAGCTAAGGTGGGGAAAAGTTGAACTTAGGGATTTTGACATGCGATTCTCAGATCTGACTTTGCATTACTGTGATACACTTGACTCAGCAGTGAAATTCACTTACCTTCGCTACTGGTTCAGGAATGGGAGCGTACGGGAGCACATGCGTGCACCTCTTCTGCGCATGCAAATAGCCTTCTGCGCATGCGCAGAGGGTCAAAAACGGGACATAATGACATCCTGGCGGATGGGAAGAGCCTCTCACCGCTGGCGCTATCGGTTCGCGCGAGCCAAATCGATCCAGCCAGATTTCACCACTGGCTTGACTTCTAATAAAACTATATACCCTTCTCAACAAATGGAGCCAAGGATTATTTCCATTTAAGAGTTTAAACTGGGGCAGGTCTGACAGATATGGAGTTGCCGGCACATTAACAAAACAGGAGACAAAACAAATAAGGCACATCCTTCACAATCAACCAAAGTCTTCAGCATGCAACTGAGCATACTAGAAGAGAACGAGCAAGGGCTAGCAGCACGTTGTGCCTTCATTCAACTGGACAAAAAGGGAGAAGAGCTTTTGTTCTAACCGGATCCTATGAGAACCAGGTTTGCTCACCAGGACTTGCTCTTGAGCATATTTTCTCCCCTGCTAGGAAAGTTGCACAAGGAAAACATGCAGAATTCATTATTATTATTTTTTATTTTTGACTTCCTTTAACTAAGCAAAAGCTAATAGAAGGAAATGAAACAATAGAAAAAAGCAGAGTCATATATACAACTATAAATAGATACATACACATGCACACACACATATATACATATATGAAGGTTCTTCAAATATACAACCCAGGATTCCTTTTGCTTGTCAAAACGGTAAAAGGGCGTCATTTCTCCAGTCGAGATAAGGGGAGAAATGGTGGACAAGTCTGTCAATACTCTGGTCACTCAGGAGCACCAAAAGTGTGTCAGAGATGAACAGCGGATTTAAAAAGTGTGTGTACGCCAAGACAAGGCCAAGGAATAGAGAGCAGCCAAACAAGAACATCATCAGAATTTTGGCTGCTGTCCATAACCAATGCAGAGCCTTCCTTTCCTTTGACTTGTCCCCCATCAGCCTGGCCTCCACTTGTTCGTGCATCAGGGTGCCCGTTGGCAACTGGTTTTCCTGGTCCAGCCTCACCAAGGAGGCCTGCTGCACGCAGAGGTCCTGTTGGTTCTGCAGGTCTTTGATGCGCTTCCTACTGTTTTCTCTGACTGTCTGAAGATTTGTGACTTTCTCCTTCAGTTGGCTGGAATGGATCCTCTCCACGTGGTAGCTGTGCTCCATCTTAGCCAGTTTATCCTCCAGGTTATGGAGGTACTTTTGAACCTCCGATGGAAGGTTCCGCATCTCCTTGAGGTTATCCTCTTGGGCAGGCTTGTCGTCTCTGAAGACGGCCACCTGGCTGGTGACGGCGTGCATTTCCTGGTTGAGGTCTTCGTTGGCTTTCACCAAAGACTTGTTCTGCAGCGCTAAATCTTGGATCACCGTGTTGGCCTGGTCCAACCTTTCTCTGATGTCCTCCACAGTTATCTGCAAGTGTTCTATGGTGGACTTAAGGTAATCCATTGTGTTCCGGAGAGATTTCTGCTGCTCTTTGATGCATTCCTTGTCTTTGAGGAACATCTTGTTCTCAGAGTCCAAGCAGGCTAAAGTCCCCCTCAGTTCTTCTATCTGGAGACGGAGACTTTTTTGGGTTGCTGAGAGGTCTTCCAGGGGTTCTGTTTGCTTCCGAGTTGTTTTCAGGATGCTGGGCTGTTTGAGAAATGGAGAGACACAATCACACCCTCTCCTCGGTCCTGGGGGTGGGGGTGGGGTGAATTTGCTAACCTGCTTTGATGCATTTCCTTTCTCTCTCTCTCTTTCAGCCCTATCCACCTCATAGGGTTGTTGTGGTGGGGAAAATTGGAGGAGGAAGAAGCATTAGATTGGGGTGTCAAACTCAATTTCATTGAGGGACGCATCAGGGCTGTGGTTAACCTCGGGGGGAGGCATACAGGCGTGGGCAGCTGGGTGGGTATGGCCAACTGAGTGGGCATGGCCAGCTTGACGCCACTCACTGGGTGTGGCTGACTGGGTGGGCGTGGCCAGCTTGATACCACTCCCCCAACTGCTGGCATGTTAGGGTAGACCAGGCTGAAGCCACACAGGCTCAATGTTTCCTCTTTGCAATGAGTAGACCGGGCCGAAGCAACGTAGGTAGACCGGGCTGAAGCGACGTGGGCTGCCCCTTTACATTTTCTAGGACGCTCCTGTGGGCTGGATCAAACCACATCATGGGCTGGATCCAGCCCAGCGGCCTTGTGTTTAACACCCCTGCATTAGATATTTCATTTCCTAATAAAGATGGGATTAAAAATCTAATAAATAAAATATAAAAAAGAAATAGTTCAAGGTAAGTTCTTTGGGAAAGAACTTTGACAGGATACCAGAGCTTCTAGTTTTGTTTCTAATTAATGTACAAGAGTTTTAAAGATTTTTTCCCCCCAAATTAAAATACAAAATAAAGAAAAAGGAAAAACAAACTAACAACCATCAGAGACTAATAATAAAAATTAAAAAAAACCTTGTGCACAAATAAAAGGATAACGAATAGCGAATATATCATCCACACTGACGTTAAACATAGAAAATCCAGACAATGCTGATAAATGTATATCAGAATTATCTGATGTGTTTTCCTCCCCTTACAAAACATGTCTAAATATACTGTAGACATGTATATGTTTATTTAAATTTAAATTATAAATTTTCCCATCTATATTTGATACAAACACTATGTCACATTAAAAAATGTCTGATGTGGAAATTTGTTTATCTAGCAATCCAATGAACCCAACCTCTGTTTGCTATATATTTAAAAAAAGCAGTCAACAGATAACCCTAAAGGTAAAACTAATCTTCCAAACCCTCCATTTCCCCTCCTTCATTGCTGGTCAATGAAGTTGATCTTTTTAGGTTAACTTCCTCAAATCATTGAGCCAGATCAATTTCTATCTTTGGGGTCAATGTGGCCTTCAAACTGGGATATCCTGAAGCCAATTTTTGGCTCCTAACTCTTACAGATGTTTCTTAGTGTACGTTATTGTTAGCCGGTTGACTCCCAACCCCTTATGGAGGTGTGTACCTTTGCCATTGTAGTTGGTGAGATTCAGTCCCAAGTGTGGAGATTGCTACTGAAGCAGGTATGACCACTTCTCTAGTGTAGTGTTGAACCCCACTTTTCTAGCCTCGCCCCGTATATAAATAAATACTAAATAAAACAATTTTGCAGTCGCTTTTCTTCGGATCCAGGTATTTTGAACCTGATCTTGGCAGTGCTGCCATCCAGAATAGCCAACACTGCTGGAAATGTTGACAGTTGGCCATGGTCCTCCAGCCAATGAGATTCAGAGGAGCAAGTGATGTCACAAACAATGGCTTGGATTTGGCCTGGACCTGAAGTTTGGGAAAAATCAATCCTCTGGTTGTCTTCACATGAGAGGGCCTGGCCCATTAATTTTAATAGCAAACTAAGTTAAGATCTTTTTACAAGCGAGCCATGAATTAGCTTCAACCAGAGCTCGTCCATTTAAATCATTTTATCTAAACTTTGGCTTAATAAAGCCATTCTTAAAATCAGCAGGCAGCTAACACCTCCTTTAATAGTTACCCCAAAAAGCTAAAGAGCTGAACGTCTATGGAGATTCTCAGTCATCCAAGTCATGATTATCCCAAAGGTGATTCCATCCCCTGCGTTTTTCAAGAGCCAACTGGACCAAAAAAGCCCAAAACTGAGCAGCCAATGGGAACACTTCAAGGAGGTCAATTAGAGTTGCTCTAATTATTAGAGATTACTTAAGAATTGCTGAGTTGTTCTTCTCTACATTTTTTCGAAAGTCAACGAGACTTTGGAAAAAGTTCAGAGAAGAGCAACTAAGATGATTAAAGGCCTGGAGACTAAAACATATGAAGAAAGGCCTGGACTGATGGGATAGTATATTTTAAATTTTTAAAAAAACTTTTATTATTTCGTGTATATTTGTTGTTTTTAACAGTCGCTTGGTCGATTGCCATCGTGAGCCACCCTGAGTCCTCGGAGATAGGGCGGCATACAAATTAAATATATATATATATATATATATATATATATATATATATATATATATAGCAAAAAATTAAAATCTTGGGTGTTTTCCCGCATCATATTAAATAAGTTAGTTAAAATGTTTTAAATTCTGATTAAAATCCTAGCTTAAAATCTTCTAAAACTCCTTACAGAGCACTCTGCAAGGTCCTTTAAAACCAACTGGTCTCACATTTATGCCCGTGCAGCATTCTTAACAACCATGTCATTCATTTCACAACTGCTTCTCTTCACCATGACAAGATAGGGCAAAAATGTAAAATGTGAGGACAGTCGTAAGTTCGAGGACTGGTCAAAAGTGTGAGGACCAGTCAAAAATAACTTTTTCAGCCCTCTGAGTAGTCCATATGCACAAAAGGATACAGTAATAGAGAGGGATGAAGGAAGGCAAGGGAAATTAGAGTAGGAGTGACGGTAAGAGAAGGAGGAAGAGAGGAGGAGAAGGAGAAAGGAAGAGGAAATAGGGAGGAGAAGAAGAGGGTGGGGGGAAGAGAAAGTAAGAAGGAAAGAAAAGAGAGAGGTGGTAGGTTTGAGGAGAAAGATTGCTGTACAATAAAAAAGATGAAAGGGAAGAAAGCCAACCCCAAACAAATATAAAGATATTAAGATAAAGAATGAATTGTTAAACTTTAAAGAATAAAAGAAAACAAATATGAATAAATAGCAATAATTAGAAACACACATACAAACATACAATGTATTTTCTTTGAACAGAATATTTGGCTGGTTAACAAATTTAAAATGTTTAGTCATTTCAATTAAATTTACAATTTCTATATTTCCTTTTTGCCATATTTATTCCTCATCTATTTTTTTAAAAAAACAATATTACCCTTCATCCTCATCTCTAATCTTAATCAAATTCAATTTTCCCCTTCTATTCTATATTATACCCCTTCCCATTTTCATCTATTTTTATATCCATCCTCACATTGGTTAATTATGTAATTATGTAATACAGTTGTTTATTACAAATTCAACATTTTAATATAAATCAATTAGTTATATAACTATCTTTTTTGTACATTAATCAATATGAACATGAATATTCCAATTATTTCCATGCAATCCAATTTCTTACAAATCAATTAATTATATTTACCAATAATAATAAACCAAATAATTTCCCCTATATATTCCTCCAAACCACAACTTAACCATTTCTGCTTTCAACACAATATACAATTAATAGTATCTCAATTATTACAATTCCCTAGTTAAATAGAGCTTTTTTTCTTTTGTGTTTTAAAATCTTGAACTCTCCTTTTTTGCCCTAAATTTCCCATTGTTTGCAGTTTTGCACCTACCTTTTTTGGTGAGGAAAAAGTTAAAGAAATCTCTCTCTGCCTCATTTTGCCACGTTGCAGCAAAGACCCTGCTTACTTTGTTTCGCTTTTAAAGCATAGTTAGGGGAAAAAAATCTCCACTCTGCAGCTAGCAACTACAGAGCCCTGAGCAAAACAGCTGAGAGCAAATCAGCTGAGAGTCGGGAAGCCGATCTAATGAATTTGTGCTAATTAACCTATGCTGAACCTTTAAGGGGCTGTTTTTTCTATTTTTGCAGGCATCGGTCTACTCATTTGTTTTCTTTTAACACTGATCACCTGTAGGGCAGCCCTTTGAAGCCCCGCGGCAAGAGTTTAAACAGTTTTTTTCCCTCTAGCCATCAGCTGGGATTCAGGAGGCAGCCGGGACTCAGGAGGCAGAATGAAAAATTGGGACTTTTTTAAAACGCCGCGGGAGGCGGGACAAATTGTTAAAAATCGGGACTGTCCCGCCAAAAGCGGGACGTCTGGTCACCTTACCTAAAAGAGAAGCAGAAACTCAGCCCCCCACCTTTGTTAATGGGCCATTAAGGCCTGAGCCAGTCTATTCTACATAACAAAGATCTACCTCCTTCAGGCAGAGCCATTTAATTGCCCTTTATTGCCCACCACCAAGTTTCAACCAAACTTGGCACACAGACAACCTAAAAGGCTAGCTTGACCTATGGGAGAAGCTAATCAGTATACTCTTCCTTAAGGTGACCAGATTTTAACATTGGTAAAGCGGGACACCCACCATTTTGTGGGCGTGGCTTGGAGGTCATGTGACTGGGTGGGCGTGCCTAGCTGGTCATGTGACCGGGTGGCCATGGCTATGTGTATAGAAAAAAGTCAATTCTGACAGGTCCTCGCACTTTTGACTGGCCCTCACACTTATGACCATCCTCACATTTATGCCCGTGCAGCATTCTTAACAACCATGTCACTCATTTCACAACTGCTTCTCTTCGCCATGGTGATAAGATAGGGCAAAAAACGTAAAATGTGAGGACAGTCGTAAGTTCGAGGACTGGTCAAAAGTGCGAGGACCAGTCAAAAATAACTTTTCAGCCCTCTGAGTAGTCCATATGCATAAAAGGATACCGCAATAGAGAGGAATGAAGGAAGGGAAGGGAAATTAGAGTAGGAGTGAGGGTAAGAGAGGGAGGAAGAGAGGAGGAGAAGGAGAAAGGAAGAGGAAGTAGGGAGGAGAAGAAGAGGGTGGGGGGAAGAGAAAGTAAGAAGGAAAGAAAAGAGAGAGGTGGTAGGTTTGAGGAGAAAGATTGCTGTACAATAAAAAAGGTGAAAGGGAAGAAAGCCAACCCCAAACAAATATAAAGATATTAAGATAAAGAATGAATTGTTAAACTTTAAAGAATAAAAGAGAACAAATATGAATAAATAGCAATAATTAGAAACACACATACAAACATACAATGTATTTTCTTTGAACAGAATATTTGGCTGGTTAACAAATTTAAAATGTTTAGTCATTTCAATTAAATTTACAATTTCTATATTTCCTTTTTGCCATATTTATTCCTCATCTATTTTTTTAAAAAAACAATATTACCCTTCATCCTCATCTCTAATCTTAATCAAATTCAATTTTCCCCTTCTATTCTATATTATACCCCTTCCCATTTTCATCTATTTTTTATCCATCCTCACATTGGTTAATTATGTAATTATGTAATACAGTTGTTTATTACAAATTCAACATTTTAATATAAATCAATTAGTTATATAACTATCTTTTTTGTACATTAATCAATATGAACATGAATATTCCAATTATTTCCATGCAATCCAATTTCTTACAAATCAATTAATTATATTTACCAATAATAATAAACCAAATAATTTCCCCTATATATTCCTCCAAACCACAACTTAACCATTTCTGCTTTCAACACAATATACAATTAATAGTATCTCAATTATTACAATTCCCTAGTTAAATAGAGCTTTTTTTCTTTTGTGTTTTAAAATCTTGAACTCTCCTTTTTTGCCCTAAATTTCCCATTGTTTGCAGTTTTGCACCTACCTTTTTTGGTGAGGAAAAAGTTAAAGAAATCTCTCTCTGCCTCATTTTGCCACGTTGCAGCAAAGACCCTGCTTACTTTGTTTCGCTTTTAAAGCATAGTTAGGGGAAAAAAATCTCCACTCTGCAGCTAGCAACTACAGAGCCCTGAGCAAAACAGCTGAGAGCAAATCAGCTGAGAGTCGGGAAGCCGATCTAATGAATTTGTGCTAATTAACCTATGCTGAACCTTTAAGGGGCTGTTTTTTCTATTTTTGCAGGCATCGGTCTACTCATTTGTTTTCTTTTAACACTGATCAGCTGTAGGGCGGCCCTTTGAAGCCCTGCGGCAAGAGTTTAAACAGTTTTTTTCCCTCTAGCCATCAGCTGGGACTCAGGAGGCAGCCGGGAGCAACCCACCACTGCACCGTGCATTCTTTCCAAAAATCGGGACTTTTTTAAAATGCTGCGGGATGCGGGACAAATTGTTCAAAAGCGGGACGTCTGGTCACCTTACTCTTCCTGGGCTCCAGGAAGTTCAAAACCAGTGTAGGAAGTTAGCACCCACCCCTTTCCTAGAAGAATGAAATATTTTAGGAAATATTAAAAAGGCAGAATATTATGTTTCCCTGGATGAGAAATGGAGAAGCATGTTTTAAAAGACGAAGCAGCTCTCACCTTCTTGCCCCCCACCCTTTGTCAATGGGCCAGAGGCAGAAACTCAATCTTTGTCAATGGACTAACATCTCCAACACAATAGGACCCATCTAGGAACAGAAACTAACACAAGTTCAAAGCCAGAGAGGAATAAAACCCGGGGACTCACTGCGTCTCACCCTTTTTCTGTTCAGGAACTCAAACCATGTGATCCTGTCCACCATTAAACCATCTTTCTAAGCAGTCTCCATGTTTCCAGTGTCTTTTTCCTCACTTGGAGCTGAACCCAGAAGGATAATTCTTCTAACAGTGTTACATCTCTTTTTGATACATTCTGTATAAAAAATCATTATAGAGGGATTTTTTTTACTGCTTTAAGTGCTTGACAAGTGGAAATTCAATATGTAAAGCATTTTGTTATGAAATTAAACTTGAACTCGTTAAAATTTTGTGAACAAAGCAAACTTCAAAAATTCTGTTTAGCACTCCCAAATTGGGTTTAATTACACTTCTAATATATCACAAGGCTCCTATTCTAGCATACCTCTGGTGTATTATAAGAAAATTAAAATGCTGATTATTTTGAGCTGACTAGCATTGCTTTCTGTCTTTGCCATCAAATTGGCTTACTGGAGGCCCATCAGAGTGTATTTCCCATAAGACTCCCTCATATATAATCACTGCATGATTGTGTCCTTCTAAAATTTGCCATATGCTGGCAGCAATTTCATTTCCTTAAAACAAAACTATCACAGCTTTTCACAATACTTTTTTTCTTCTTCTGTTCAAATGAGAGAAAGTGACTGGCCAAAGTTCAGCTGGTTTTGTGCCTAAGGCAGGACTAGAACTCAGTCTCCCAATTTTTACTCTAATGCCTTAACCCAGGGGTCCCCAAACTTGGCAGCTTTAAGACTTGTGGACTTCAACTCCCAGAATTCTCTAGCCAGCATAGCTGGCTGATGGCTGGAGAATTCTGGGAGTTGAAGTCCACAAGTCTTAAAGCTGCCAAATTTGAAGACCTCTGCCTTAACCATTACACCTAAGTGGTTCTTATCAATCCTGCCATGCTTTAAAGTACAACCTTTTTGGGCACAGGGTCTTGTGTTTCAGCCTGGCCTCCTGCTCTTCAGCGGGAGTTTTCCATACTGTGATGGGGGGGGAAAAACACAACGCACAAAACTAATTTCAGTTGCAGTCACAGAAGCAACAGAACAGCAGGTAAGGGAGATTCATATACAACCATCACCTAGCCCAGGGGTCTCCAAACTTGGCAACTTTAAGACTTTAAGACTTGTGGATTTCAACTTCCAGAGCTCTGGGAGTTGAAGTCCACAAGTCTTAAAGTTGCCAAGTTTGGAGATCCCTGAGTCCTAGCCCAAGATAGAGTTGGATCTCAATTCCCATAGTCTGCCAGACAGTAAAGGCAGTTAACTTCCAAAACACCTGGAGGGGATCATATATTATGATTATGATCATATCGTACCAGCGTGCCTACCGTCCCTGTCCTACTGTCCCCATTCATATGTACTCATTTTATGTGTTTATGGCTGTGTTTTGCTTATTTATATCCATTTATTTGTGTCAAATTTTGTCATGTCTCCATGTCTATGCCTCTACTGATACTTGTTTCCTTGTACTTGTTGACAAATTAAATAAATAAATAAATATTTTAAAAGGGGTAAATAGGATACTTTCCTTATAAGTACAATTCCCAGCATTTCAAAAGCGAAAGGATACCACCATGACACTGAGCTTGTTGATCAGAAAGGTCGGCGGTTTGAATCCCTAGTACAGGTCTCCTGCGTGTGCAGGGGGTTGGACTAGATGACCTCCAAGAGTCCCTTCCAACTCTGTTACTGTTACAATCTTCTCAATTGTTTGACTCCATTCCTTTTCCAAAAGAAAACCATAACTTTAAACAAAAGCGGAAAGACCACTAGTGTTTTACATTACAGAGATGGGCAACTATGGCCCTTTTATGACTTGTGGACTTCAACTCCCAGAATTCCTGAGCCAGCCATGTTACCTCAGGAATTCTGGGAACTGAAGTCCACAAGTCATAAAAGGGCCATAGTTGCCCACCTCTGTTTTACAAGAATTACGGTATAATTAGAAGAGAAAGCGGGCGCCGGTTTCTAGGAGGACGGGCGGCAGCTCCTCCTGGCGGCCAAAAAGGGACCGAAGCGAACCAGAAGATTCTGGCTTTGAGGGAAAGGCCGGTCTGGTGACTGGCGGCTGACGGCAGCCGCTCACGTGACGCCGCATGGGCCGCGGCCCCAACAACTGAAGCAGCCGCGGAGGGTTAATTGGACAGGTGTTTCTGCGGCAAAGAGCCCGGGGGAGTTGTGGGGGTGAGTGAAAAGGGGAAGGCGGGGGACGGAGACGGTCGGCGGGAGAAGTGTTGACGACGAGCGTTGTTGACCCGGGTGAAAGTTTCATTAGCCACTCGCGACGTCCTGCCGTCCCCTCCCCGGTTCTTTCGGTTCAGCCGTGATGCCCTGTTGCGGTGCTGGAAGTGACCTGTGGACTGCAGACGCGTAGAGGCCCTGCGGTGGGTGCAGGCTTGGCAGGAAGAAGACTGTCAATCTAAAAAGTCGAGCCTCGCGAAAAAAAAAACAAACCCGCTCGTGGATTGGTCTGGTCTTGGGAGGTTTTGACTTCGTTCCTTGGCCGGTGACGCAAGTCGTGAGTATTGAATAATTCAAAATAGCGTTGAAGTCTGAAACCTCACTTCCCAGCGTTGGAAGAAGGTTGCGTCGCTTTTTATTATTATTATTATTATTAATGGATGCATTCAAGTAACTACTATGGAGTTTGATTCTCTGAATGTGTTCTGCTTACCTATTAAATCTGGGCTAAAGCTTTCAAGAAGAGGCTGGATTGACATCTGTCAGAAATGGTGTAGTAGGGTCTCCTGCTTGGGCAGGGGGTTGGACTAGATGACCTACAAGGTCCTTTCCAACTCTGTTTATCTTGTTTCCTTCAATGGTGTTTTAAGTACAAACCAGTAACATTTACCAGCTGGTTCCCACACCGTTCAGCAGCACTTATGTCTAGGTGAATTGTGCACAGGGGGGTACTTATGTCTAGGTGAATTGTGCACAGGGGATACTTACGTCTAGGTGAATTGTTGTGCACAGGGAGTGCTTACGTCTAGGTGAATTGTGCACAGGGGTTGCTTACGTCTAGGTGAATTGTTGTGCACAGGGGGTGCTTATGTCTAGGTGAATTGTGCACAGGGGTTGTTTACGTCTAGGTGAATTGTGCATAAGGGGTGCTTATGTCTAGGTGAATTGTGCAAAGTATTTCAAGAGTATGCGCTCTTTCAGACTTCCAAGTGAAAAACTTTAGATCATACGCGGACATACTATATTTCATATTAGATTGTAGACCTAGCTCTTGTTGAAATTGGGTTAATCATAGGCAAGTCATTATTTGTTTAACCTTAGTTGCTCACTAGCGGCCAGAAGATTGACCTAAAATTTATTTAGGTCCTAAATAATCTCTTAAGAGTTGTTCTAGCTTTTACATTGTATAATTCTCAGAATAAAGCAGAACTGGGAGAATGTACTCATGCCAGCGCTCCATAAATTGTGGGTAGCAGAACATGCTCTTATTTAGTATGTGCAGAAATGAACTGTAACAATCTAAATAGCCCCTACACAGCAATAAACTGATAAAATATCTTGCAAAGCTAGTGATGTGAACCCAGAATGATTCCATCATGGAACATAAGCAAATTGTAATGGCCCTATTTGTACAATTTGCTAAACCAGAATAAGTCACATAGTTTTAGTATGGTCTTTTTGCTAAACCATGATCTGGTTTTGGCTCATTAATTTATAAGTCATGGTTTCAGATGTTGTGTAAACACAGACAATTCTGCACACAGTATGTAGGATCCGGGAGTAGTCAGGTAAACTATGGTATATTATCTGCTCTAGCTCAAGCCATTCCGTCTATTGATTGTAGATTCTCATAGATTAGAATACTGATAGCTGAGGCAGAACTTCGTAACTTGAATCTGAAGTTAGTTAAATTATACATAACATCATGACTAGGATATTTCCTTCCTTAAGTGCATTGCTGATGTTTGCTGTTGTCAGAATGTTGAATTGAGACTGTAGTCAGAGGCATTTTTTGTTCCAAAAGACAACAAACTTAACTATTATTTCTAGGAAATGTTTTCATTGCACCAGTCATACTATGATACATTTTGAAATAACTCATTTATTAGATGAGATTTAAGCTCAGAATGTCTAAATCAGAATTAATCCACAATACAATATGTAAAATCAGCTTTTGTGACTTATAAGCAAAAATATTGGCTTATGTTGACCTCATGGCTATATTGACCTCTGGAAGCATTTGGTAGTATCCATAAAGAACCCCAGAAATTGTGACTTTTAACGTAATGGATAATGTCATATGATACTGAAGAGCAGTCATTTTTGGCTGTATGCACAATTATACTGTCTATTTCCAGGTTTAGTATATTATCTGAACATAATTTGATTATGTGATTTATTCAGTAAAAATAATTAAACAGGTATGAACCATTTATGTAATTGCATTGAGTTTCCATACCATCCAATAACAGTAATTATCCAGGAGTGATGGGCAAATGAGACATAGTCACGGATAGTGACTATGATTTCACTTGACTGTAAAGGAGATAACTAAGATTAGTGATTTTAAAACCAAAAACATAATAGAAAAAGACAACAACAAAAATGAAAAAAGAAAAAAAGAACATACACATACACCAAACGGTAAAATACAAAATATAAATAACAACATTATATAATATTTTATAATTTTCTGCATCGACAATTATCTTTACTTTTAAATTCAATCTTCCTATAATTATATCAGTTGTGTCTGTCACATTATATAAATCATCTTTAGATAATATCTAAGACTAAATTTTTGGAGGTATCTAAAACTGACCATATTGGAAGATTATAGTTGGCTTACTTTGATTCAGATGTAGTTAATGAGCACTTCCTTTTCCTTTAATCAGAAGCTAATTTGATATTCATAATTAATGTATTTTTGAACTAGGCTTATCCGGAAGCTGGAATTCCAGATGACAGGATGTTGAAGTGTATAATTTTCTATTGACATTGGCAAGGACTGCTGTTAAAAAGTCTGTTAGTTTGGAAGAGTTGCTGAAAAAGCAAATGCTCAGACATTCATTGTTTAAATCCTAATTGTTTAGGCTTTGCAAGATGCTTAGAGTTACTGTTAAGATTAAGGCAACATATACATCAGGCATGTCAAACTCAAGGCCCACAGGCCCGCGATGTGGTTGGATCCAGCCCGCAAGGCTGTCCTGGAAAATGTAAGGGGCCAACTCGCATCGCTTTGACCAGTCTACCCACATCACTTCGGCCCAGTCTACCCAGGTTGCTTCGGGCCGGTCTACCCAGTGCAAAGAGGAAACATACCAGCAGTTTGGGGAGTGGTGTCAAACTGGCCACACCCCCCCCGTCCCCCCCCCCCCCCGAGGTCAACCATAGCCCTGATGCAGCCCTCAATGAAATTGAGTTTGATATCCCTGCTATACATTGATTAAATCAATGATGCTGCAGATCAGGAATACAGATCTTATAGCTCTCCAAATGTTGCTGAGTAATGTTTTTGAATCTGTCACCTTTGATCCTGATGGCTGGATTATTAAATTTGAGCAATATCTGAAGGACTCCAGATTCTCCAGACTCAAAGACAAAGAAAACTATTTAATAAAAATATCATTTGATGTCCTTTTAAGATGTCATCTAACATAAACATTCTGTGTGTATGTGTGTGTATAGCTGATTTCACTTTAACATTTGGATTTAGATACCTTCCACTAATGTATTCGCTTCTGTTCAATGTTTCCACTTAATTTATTCTATGTTTCAGTGTGCAATAATGGAGCCAGGTCAGGATTCAGCTATGCAAGAAAATGAAAATGCAAGAGCAATTGAAGATGAGTACAAGAAAGCTTTTGTGTATATTAATAAAGCATTGAATGCAGATGAATTGGGTCAAATAGAAGCAGCAAAGAATTATTATAGGCAGGGGCTTACCCACTTAAGCAAAGGAGTTCGTATTCCATCAGAAGGTCTTGAAGGCACCAAGAGCCATGCTATACCTGTTAGGCAAATGCAGCAAAAGATGAGAGAAACTTTAGAAAATGTTACTGCTCGTTTGAGACTTCTAGATGAAAATTCCCAAGTAAATATCACTACCATTAGCTCCAATATAGAGATGCCCAAATTATATCCAACAATTCCATCTAAAGAAAAGCCTGAGAAGCCTCTTGTGCCCAGTTCATTGACATCACCCCCTCAACCACTTTCAAGCCATGGAAATATTGGATCTACAAGCCAAGGGCAAATGGCTGCAGTGAGTCCATCAACTTCAATGCCCAATGAAGCACCTCCTGCTTATACTCCAGAGGCCACTGATGGCCACTATACTGTGTCTTATGGGACAGAGTCTGGGGAATTCTCATCTGTTGGAGAGGATTACTATAAAAAATGTACTCAGCCACCTCCCGTTGATAATTTTGGAGTAGATGCTGATGAATTAATCCTCATTCCCCATGGTGTGCAGATTTTCTATGTCACCCCTGATGGACAAGTTAGTGCTCCCTCATATCCTGGATATCTTCGCATTGTAAAGTTTTTGGATACAGATGCTGCAACCGCCCACAATCGTCCTCCTGCTTTCCTTCAGGTAATGCCTGTTCTCTTTGTACTTACAGTCTTCCCAAGGTATTAGATAGGAAGCCTTGAGGAAATGCCAGCAGTTTTTGGGAGGCCAAAGATGTTCTACTTGTGCTTTAGGAAATAATTGTTTTCAAACTATATTCATTCAAAGACTTTTTGGATGTTCCACATAGAGACGTGTTTCCTAAGGTGTGTTTTTTAAGTAAGGTAGTAGTAAAGGCCAAAGCAAACTTAGTGTGCAGGCTAATAAGCATTCATGAACCCCATACCTACAACTGAATCTATTACTTATGTTGAGGTTTATCTTTATCTTGACTTGCTATTTAATTGTCATTGATAAATTTGCCCCATTCTTTACAACCTGTGAACTGCATTCAGTATATGTTTTACTTTGAACTTCCATCTTCATCAGACATTCTAAGGTAAGGAATGTCAATCCTTCAGAAGCCATGAAAAATCTGTTTAGTTAGCTGTAAGTCAACGCTGAAGTCAGCTTTCCATGTATATTGAGGAAGTGCTGGAGAGCTACTGTTAAACCATATGTGTCATCTCAAGGGCTACTTAATATGACTTGATATGAACCAGACTGCTACCCTGTAACCCTAGACTATGTACTGTATATACATTTCACTGGCTTTAACAAAAAACATTATCATACAATGCTAGCTTTTTGTTAAGCCTCTGCTAGAAAAGCCTGCCTATATATTAAGACAGTCTATATCAGTTACATAGAAGGTTATGTATATAATTAAATGCTGAAGGCAATATTTGGGGATAATTATAACTGGTTAAGTTCTTTGGGACCATTTCATACACTGAAAGCTATACACCTATAGTTCTGAAAATAGCCTTATAAATGTAATTCTTGGTCCCCTTCAACAAAAACCTTCTAAAAAAGGACCCATGAAAGTATCAGATTTATTTATTATATTGATTTTTTAAAATTAAACAATGAATGTCTTTGTATTTTGTTCATTAAATACTCAATCTATTTGGCTTTCTCGCTTTCCAGGTTTGTGACTGGATATATCCTCTTATGTGCAGCCAGTCTCCTGTTCTCTCATGCAGGACTGGAGTCTATATGTTCCCTGATATGATGGCACAGGTATCAGGATCCTATGTAGGAGTAGTGTTGTCTTCAGAACTTCCAATCGCTGACCGAGAACTATTTGAAGATCTATTGAAACAGATGACTGACCTTAGAATACAGGTAAAACACTTATTTCATGCAGTCATTGACAGAAATTCCAGTGCACTGGAATTTCTGCTCATATCACCCAGCATATGTGTTATTGGACAGGCATCTCTGTATACTTATCTCAATTCTATAGCAGCCCAGTTGACACGAACATGACAAAGTGATTTCTAATAAAATACAGCTATATTGTGGAAGAGTATTGGTTCTATTCTATAATTTGACATTTTAAAACATCTGTTGCAGCCTTTTAAAATCATTGGCCTTGTATTGATTTTGGTTATGGGATTTAATTATAGTAAGATACCAGAAATTATGCATTTTGCATAATTAAATTATTTATGTTTTCCTCTTCCCTCATCCAAAAAAAACTCCTTCGGGTAGATTCAGGAAGACACTATTACAACAAAAATGATGGGAATACTTGACCAGTTGCAAACAGTAAGCAAAATATGTTACAGATATTTTAAAAGAACATCCTTTTAAACCAGATATTTCAGTATAAGATTATGAAGATCTAATTTATTTAACCCATTCATGAAATGAAAACAAAAATTAGAAGTGCTAGGATGGTAGAAAATTTAGCTGATGGTAATAGAAGAGATGGTCATCTAATATGTATATAATAGCAGATAATTATTGTCACACCTTATTGAGTAAAATGATAATCTTTAAATATGAAACTACATTCTCCTTTGTAGACATTTGGAAATCTATTGTTTAATAGTAAACAATGGTTTAATTACAGTTTATTTTTTCTTCTCTATTTAACTTTTATTTGCTTATTATTCACCTTGGATATTATTCTGGTTCTAAAATCTGAATTTTTCTTGATCTCATAGTATAAACACAAGTTGAGATCTTTATTAGTCTGAATTCACTTGCATGCATCTCATTTTAAAAGGATAATTTTGTAAGGGAATTATGCTGTTTCTGTGAAAGAATGCAGAATGGATTCTTTGTTGAGCCTTCAAACTGTTGATGTCCTTGATATGGTACTGCAGGCTCCAAGATCCCGTGAGGGAGTAGGGTTTCCATCAGAATGCCAAAGGTCTTACAAAGAACTTTTTGAGGATATGTTAAAACAGATATCAGATCTTGGAACTAAGGTAACTTTGAGGATTATGATTTAATGGTGGTGGCAAAGTTTTACAAATAGCCTTGGTTTTGCAATGTGCAGTATTTATCTATTGTAGAACATATATGTCACCAAAAAAGTTACTTTGTGAACCAATTTTATTGAACCAATAAATATTAGATATATGTAAAAAAATGGGGATTTGGAGGATGCTGGTTTGGCAATCAGTGTGTGCTTGCCATGTTTAGAAAAACATATGCTAAAAGATCCTGATAATAGAACTGGACAACATTTGAATAGAACAGTTGGATGTTGGAAATAATGAGATGGACCTAAATTGCTAGAAAGAATATAGCAGAGACACTTTCAGTGAATCCAAACTGTATCTAATTTTAAATATTATAATAAAACTTATGGAGAGGTGGCACAATTAATATTGACTGATAAAATATTATATACAATATGTAAACCCAAACATAAAAAGATTTTTAACCTTGATAGACTTAGACTTAGAATAACTTTATTGTCACTTTGAATGTATACTAATCGGCGTACATTAAAATGAAATTTTGTTGCATACAGCTCTCAAAGGATCTCTTCCTCTAATATATACTACATAAACATGACAAAATAAATAAATACAAAATTATGCATATACCCACATATATTATATGACACAGAGAAACAACAGTCTAGTTCGGATGTATACATGTACAGCATATAACAAGAGAAATGAATCTTGCAAGTTTACCAGACGGATGGCATAGGGGACAAAGCTGTTACAAAATCTGGTAGTCCTCCTAGAAATACTTCTAAACCTCCTCCCAGAGCAGAGCAACAGAAACAGACCGTGAAGTGGGTGTATGGGGTCCCTAACAATGCTTTGAGCTCTAAGCACATAGAGCTTATAAGTAGTATTCTGAATGACAGGAAGCAAGCTTCTTATAATTTTAGCTGTCTTTAGCAATCTCTGAATGGACTTTCTCTCTGAGGCACTGCAGCCACCAAACCAAACAATGATGCAGTTTGTTAAAACGCTCTCAATCGTGCCTCTGTAAAAAGTGGCCAGGACAGAAGAAGAAAGATGTGCTCTCCTCATCTGATGCAGGAAATGCGGATGCTGGTTTGCAAGCTTCACTAAGGTGGAGAGACTAGTTCAGATTGTTAGTTATCTGCACCCCCAGATACTTAATACTGTCAACCATCTCTACAGCTGCATCCTTGATACTGAGTGGAGTATGACCATGCCGGCTCTTTCTAAAATCTACGATGATCTCCTTTGTTTTATTAACATTTAGAACCAGGTTACTTTTATTGCACCAGTCCACCAGAGCCTTCACCTCTTCCCTAAACGCATCTTCATTGTCGTCCTGGATAAGACCCAACACTGCAGTATCATCTGCATACTTCACAATATGATTTGTAGCAGATTTGGCACAGCAGTCGTTAACAGTAGCGGACTCAAGACACAGCCCTGTGGGGAACCTGTACTCAAGGAGATGGAGTTGGAAACTTTTCTTCCAACTTGCATAAATTGGGGCCTATCAATAAGGAAATCAAGTATCCAATTACATAAAGGGGTATTAAATCCTAATAGGCCCAGTTTGTTCATCAACTTCTGATGAATATGTTGAGTAAGTCAGTTGCCAAGATCATAGAGAGTTCTAAGTTATAAATCATGTATGGTTTATCATGATATATGACCTGAGGTCATCAGTCCTTGTTTTTTTACAGTGTACAATACTGCAATCTTCTCAGACATATCCGTGAAGTTTTATGCCTGCTTCCTCTTCCATTCTTTGCTGTTTAAGAGTGTAGATTACGAGCCTAATTCACAAATTATGTTATATTTAAATATAGATATTTATTTTTAGCTTAGCATATTGTGTGAATTTCTTAAACCAGTTTCATGCAATGATTCATATTAAAAGCAGCTCTAGTTTTTTTAAAAAAAAACATATAGAAAATGGATTGGCAATTCTTTTTGATAAGATTCAGTGGACAATTCTGGAAAAATGTCCACTTTTATATTTTTAAAAATTATATTGTAAATTTTAGCCATTAGCAGTCCTGGTCAGATAATTCAATTTTCAAACTATTTATTATCAGATTCAATATTACATTATTTTTCAGTTACTATAATATTTATGAAATAAAAAAGAATACTATAATTAATCTTATAAATTCTGAATGACCAACTAATAAAATGTTTTTAAAAACAATATACCTTTTCAGCTACACCTTTGTGGCATAAGAAAACACTGTTCTGGCTTACCAAATATTTCTTTCTGTTTCACACTAATCATTTAGTGAATTTACTGAGGATTAATAATTAATATAGAGTAGTTACTTACATTTCATTCCTGTTCCCTACAGGCCATTTTTAACCAGTAAACATATATGCTAACTAATAATGATCCATAGAGAATGATGTCAATCCAGCATTTATTAAATAGCCATATTCTGTGAATGTGCAATTATTTAATGAATGTACAAGATAAATGTTCTATATAGAGTTTGCATTGTGATGCATACAGTATACTCATTAATGAGATATTGATGATGCCAAATAATGCCAAAATAATGTAGCATCTTTGGAGACTTAATTGATTATAGCAGTGATAATGGTTCCACATTTTATCTCACCTTCTTAACCTTGAAATTAATTTACCTAGATAATTAATTTCTTGAAATTAATTTACTTAGACATTTTTATTATTGATGTCTAGTTCTTAATCCAAAATGTACAGCTGGTAACTGACAAAAGGTGCCATCTAACTATCACATGATTGTATTTGTCCTATTCCTGGCTGTGCCAGTGTGAGAAAAACCCAGAATAAATAGAATGCATGCTTTTATTTTGTTTGTGAGGGCAGAACACATAGAAGTTCATTCACCCTTCTTATTCTTGCTCTGGGGGTGGGGTGGGGAAAACCCAGAATATAATCTTTCAGTTTTGAACGGATTGCAATTTTAAGGGCAAATAAGAGCACTGAATGAAATAATAGTGGGCTTTTTTTCTAAACTGAAAGAATACTTTCTATATAACCTTTCTATTGTACCTAATGAAGTACAAGTAAGTGTAAAGCAATTAGTAAACAAATACAAGATATGCTATTTTAAAGGCTCTCAATTAAAATTAATTAAAACAAAGCTGGAGAATAGGTGAACCTCCAGAAGTTATTGAACTAGAACTTCCAACAATCCTTTCCATTAAACGTGTTGAATAAGGTGGTTAGATATAGGGTCCATCAGAGCAAAATAGATAGGAAGTAATAAATAATTTGGTAACCTTCCAAATCAAGATTTCTAGAGGGAATCCCTTTGTGTAGAATGTCTTTCCCTGATCTAATTATCAGATCTATTGGGATTTAAATTCCAGAATTTTACTTTGTTTTGACTTTATCAGCATGTTATATAAAAACATTTTAAGTAAAATTCCTAATCATGATAATGTAGAATTATGTAATCAAGAATGCAGTGTAGCTGTCTAGCAACTCTGAGAAATATTTTTTTTAAAGAATATTTAAGCATATTATCAATGAGGAGTTTACAAAATTTCAAAGGATAATGCTCAATTAAGAATATGCAAGTCTGTTATGCAATACTTTGTCAAATTCAATAATATTCTAAAATGTATAATAATACATATTGCAAATCAGAAAATGTTTTGGTCACAAAGTAAATTCTCTGTAGGATGACATGATTTTTAGCTAATTTAATATATAACTGTTTTTCTTTGTCTTCTGTTGTTTGTATTTTTGTGGATATTAATTTCACATATTAGCCTGCTGAAGCTTCAAGTGATGTGATCAACCTTGGTCAAATTGTACGTATTCAACCAGTGCCTGAAGAGAGAGATCGTGAATTACCTGACTGGAGTGAGAAAATAGCTCATGGCATCTTATCAGGTACTCTCAGACTTTGAAGAAAGCACCAGACTTTAGATACTATATGTTGCAAATTTCCAAGTATGGCTTGGTCTTATGGAAGTTATAATATCTGTGCATCTGTATGGTATTAACTTGAGTAAATCTGCATTGATGCTTAATTTATCTCTTGCTATTATGCCAATATAAAATTTATGACTAAAACCATGATAGCTAATAAACAGTTGAGTAAATCCAATTTTTAGTAAAACCATGTTAACTAAAGTTCTGTAAACAGAAATTGCAGCCAAACGTAATTTGTGTTTATTATTAGTTACATTAGTGCAAAGATGGTTTTTTAAAAAATCAATAGATATATTTAAAAATAGTTGGCTTCCAGTTTCGCACTTCAGTTCCAGAGTGACATCTAGATGGTGAAAATATCTATCATTTGATAATAATATTTATTTTAATGGATTTGAAAACATAGGTTACAACTGCTTTCTTTAATTGCTTAAAGATTTGGCTGAAGGAAAATTAGTGTGTAACATGAACACCTTCCCTAAAAATTGACATAGGCTAATTTTCATTAGTTGAAAGCCAGGTTTGAATTTAAGATACTAGTGTGGCTCTGAGGCAGAAAGGGAGTTAGCAGAGGTAGTCTTCCCTTAACATCCATTTGTTCAGCAATCACTCAGTTACAACAGTGCTGTAGTAAGGGACTTACAACCAGTACCGATAGTTCTAGCTGTTGCAGCACCCCTGTGGTCACATGAACAAAATTCAGACCCACCTGCATTTATGACCTTTTGGCTACCCACCTACCAGCTGCTGCCAGCTACCTTCACAACCTGGCCTTACCCACCTTTGCCGCATCACCTACCACTGCTGTACTGGGCATGGTCTTCTTTCATACTGGTGCAACCAGGGCATCTCTTGTGCTCCGCCCAGAGCCTCTGTTTGCACACCAGCCAAAGTCTTCTGGGCTTATTTCGCTAAGCAATGTAGTCATGTGACATCATGTTTTATAACTGCAATACTTAGTAATGGAAATTCTGATCCCAATTACCAATGTTAACTGAGAACTACCTGTAATGATAAGTTCTTGTTTTAAAATCTGAATCTTAAAATATTTTCAGAGAGGCAATAAAAATTCTTTTAAAACAAGTACAGGTAGTCCTCGACTTACAACAGTTCATTTAGTGACTGTTCAAAGTGGTTTATGACAGTTTTTCATACTTACGACAATTGCAGTGTCCCCATAGTCATGCGATCAAAATTCGGATGCTTGGTAACTGGCTCATATTTATGACGGTTGCAGTGTTCTGGGATCACGTGATGATCTCTTTGGTGACCTTCTGACAAGCAAAGTCAATGGGGAAGCCACATTCACTTAACAATTGGGTTATTAACAACTGTAGTGATTCACTTAACTGTGGCGCAAAAGGTCATAAAATGGGGCAAAACTCACTTAACAAATAGTTTACTTGGCAACAAAAAATTTGGGCTCAGTTGTGGTTGTAAGTCGAGGGCTACCCGTGAACCAAAATAATTCCCTGACCGTTCAGTGACTAAAAATCAAATGGTAATCTAAACCAAGATATTCATTTAGAAAATATTCAACTCTGTCAGACGTCTAGGAGACACTGATTCACCAATTATATACCATGACTTAGAAGCGATCCCATGTCTATTTTCATTTCAGAGAGAAATTTCTTGACTGGCCTTAGACCATGTGGGGGAAGTCTTCTGGCTATATGAATCTCCTAATATTGCAATTTGAATAAATAATAAAAGCTTTGATTTTAGAGTTAACAATAACAAAATTTTGTCCTGAGGGCTAATTCTTGATAATATTACCGTACTTCATAAACACTGTTTGATATATTTCCATAAAGGAGCATCCTGGTTGAGCTGGGGTCTGGTCAAAGGAGCAGAATATACTGGAAAAGCAATCCATAAAGGAGCCTCTAAATTAAGAGAACACATTCACCCAGAAGAAAAACCTTTGGAGGTCAACCCAACTGTAGCAAAGGGACTGCATGTGGCAAGGCAAGCTACAGGGGGAGCAGTCAAAGTCAGTCAGTTCTTGGGTAAGACATGGAAATCCAGTTTCCTTGGGAAAGTCCTGAGTTGCTTAGCATGGTCTATACTATAGTTTATGTTTTGTAGTTTCAGATTTTTTTTTGTCCTTTTTATAAATATTAAGAAAAAAGTAAAGAGCTCAGAGCATTGGACCATAGGTGATTACCATGTTGCTATCAAGGGAGCGTTCACTGAGAAATTAGACATTTTTAATCTCAATAATTCTTTCAAACCATTTTATGCTTGCTTACAAATATATCACTAGGCATATTTTAGCACATATTCATTCTTCTCCTCAAATAAATGTTGTGATCAGTTTGTTGTACTCCATACTATGTGGAGTAGGTAGGGCCAGGTCCCTAATTTTGAGCAGGATGTTCTTTGGGTGTGAAAAAAAAGCTTGAGCTGCTGGAAATTTGCCCTTTAATCCATAAACCTACCCAGTCTGGAGGGTTTTATAGGCTCAAAAGAAACTTTGACAGTATGCACTTTTGTACACTTGCTTATAGTTTATGGAAGTGTATATACATGGTCAACTGTGACTTTTAACCAAACATGATTAAACATCATAGTTTAATATGGGGAAAACAATCTATTATATAGTAAAATCTTGCCATCAATTTTCAAATAATTTGCTCTATTGACAGAAGTGCTAAACTTCAGCATAGCTTCTAGTAATCTATGATTTTTCATCTAAGAAAACTTGCCCTCAATTTGTTATAGTCCAAATTATGTTGACTAACCTTCCTTTCCCTGGTGTTCTCTAGATGTATTGAGCTTCAACTTCTATAATTCATAATCGGTGCACATATTGGTAGAAGTTAAAGTCACTTATATTATAAGCAGCTCTGAGCAGTTCAAATAATTCAGTCTATTTTGACTGTGACTTGGTCTTGTCATCAACTACATGATATCTGTACATAATGAAACTAGTTAAACTGCAATTGTTTAAAATCAAACTGTTTAATATGCTGCTAGACATTTATTTATTTAAAATATTTAAACTCTACTTTTCTACTGAAAATGCCTTCTTAAGATAGATGATATCCCTGATATCAGAAGCCTAAGTTATCTGGGTTGCATTATGAATCTAAGGTGATGAATATCTGTTGATTTTTTTTATTTATTTTAAAAAAATTATATTGCCACCTACTCGTCCATGGCGACTCAAGGTGGTTTATACAATATAAAAGCATCATATAAAAAGGATGAAATGTTACCATTTCTATTGCTGCTTCTGAGAAATAAAATCATTGGAAGAAATGTCAGACAAAATGTGTTTATAAGGCTTGATTGAACAGAGTATAGAATGGACCAAGTATCTATAAAAAAATGTCACCTTCAATAGTGCTTTCTGTTTTAGTTGAAGGTGTTTGTTCTGTGGCAAGTTGTGTTGGCAGAGAGTTAGCCCCTCATGTGAAGAAACACGGAAGCAAACTGGTTCCAGAATCCCTTAAGAAAGACAAAGATGGAAAATCAACTTTGGATGGTGCTCTAGTTGTAGCAGCAAGTGGAGTTCAAGGTAACCAAATTAAATAATTATCTGTCAATGCATATTAAGCTAATTGTTTATATATTAGTTATCTTCTGATTCTAATTATTTTTGCAGGGTTTTCAACAATATGGCAGGGTTTGGAATGTGCCGCAAAATGCATTGCTAAAAATGTATCTACAGAGACAGTAAAGACAGTCAGGTTCAAGTAAGTTTTTTTCCTCTTCTGCATAAATCACTGTTAGGGAATAACAATTGCATAAAAGTACTTTTTGTCTACTGCTTAATTGTACATTATTGTGATATAAATACATAGTTTTCTCAATTATATAGAAATAAGAGATAAGTAAAAAAGGCTTTGTTGCCGAAGAATCTTTCTATTCAATAGTCCCTGTCCCCAAATTTTTCTTCCCTGCAATGCCAGAAGTAACATGGACCAAAACAACAATCCTTTAGTCCAGCCTTTTTACGTAATATGTTGTAGAGCAGCAGTCTTCTACCTTTTTGGCACTGGGGATCAGTTTCGTAGAAGACAATTTTTCCACAGGGCGGGGTGTGGGTGTGTGTTTGGTTTTGCTTGCTTGCCTGCCACTCACCTCCAGCTGTGCAGCTGCTTTAAAGTGGAAAGACAACTCCCTAGAGTTAGGCTGGATTCCCGATGACTAGATGGACACATTCCTATCATTTTCTTACCAACAATTCAGCAACGCAAATGGTTGCATTGCCTTCTGGAGTGTATTTTGAACCTCACAGTCTAACTTAACAACCAAGGGCTTTTCTGATGGTCTCCCACCCAAACACAAGCCTATTGTGACTTGTCTCATTTTTTAAATTGGGCAAGATAAGTCATATGCTTCCATTGGCTTTAGGGAACAATCACAAACATGCAATATAACTGCAAAGACATGAACATGACAAAGTATTTTTAGGCTTACAGCTTGTAGGCTTTCATGCTGTACCCCAAAGGGAGGTGCATGTATGTAGGTCACATGGTTGGCACTGCAACATGTTTCAGCATCGTCCATCCCCCCCCCCCCCGACAGCCCCATGGACACCTATAATCTCATGCGCACTTGAATTCAATGTTGGTAATACTCCACCAGCTTTAAAGTTGCATCATTTCACAGGCATCAAATTGGAAAGGGTTATTGTTGCTCTTTGGGTATATTAACAGATTTAGTTTATTAGCTCACTAGGAAAATATATCTGATAGGCTGTGTGTGACAAATTATGTGAGGTAGTCTCATTTTTTCAGTACAGATAGGTCTTGATTTGTACATTTAATCCTATGAAATGATCACATTATTCGAATTTGCATTATTTTAAATATTTCTATAGAAAATAGGGTAATATGTTCCAGCATGATCAACCAGGAAATGAAAACGCTTACATATAATGTTTTTGTTTATCATGAAACATAACAGTTAAAGATTAAAATAATATACTTATATCTTAAATTTATTTATTTAACTAAGTCACAAGAGTAGTCATTTTTACAAAAAAAAAAAATTAAAGCCATCATGTTCTAAATAGATCTCATACATATTTAAAATAAATCAAGTGAACAAAGGATAAACCTATATCCGAAATAGAACTGTTATTGCCTACATTCTGTTGTACAGGTAATCCTTAATTTACAACCACAACTGGGACAGAATTTTCCATTGTTAAAACAATTGCGGTCATAAAGCAAATATCACATGATGGGATCACTTTGTGATTGCAATCCTGTCATCCCGGTTGCCATTATTAACAGAATCATGGTTTGTTAAGTGAGTCCCCATCCCTAAAATTAAGCCATTCCAGGCTTGATTCCTACCAGCCCTTAGTCTTAGTAAGGTAACGGATTGTTCCCAACTTCCCGCACCTGCCTATCTCCCCTCCTCCATTTCTGCCATTTGGCTGCCATGCATCCTGCTTTGTGGGGCGGCAAGCAACCCCAAAACTGCACACCTGGAAAGCTACAGCCACGTAGCCACAGTTTCCCTTGACACCTTGCACTCCAAGACCCTTGTTGCTATGTGCTCCACTATCCTAGGTGCCCTTCATGTTCCTCTTGCTGTTGATGAGTCATGTCTGGCCTGGCTGCTGGGCTTGCTGTGGCAAAAAAAAAAGGGCCAAAAGCAGCCCCAATGCACAAAAATGCTTGTTTGCAAAAAGCTCCTGGGGCACGGCACACCAAAAAGCTCCACCACACCCAGGAGCTCTATGCAAAGGAACTGTTTTGGGCTTTTTTTTTTTTCCAAATGCAATTGGAAAGCCAATTCCTATATTCTTAAGTGTAAGGGTTTTTTTCCCCCCAGTTAATGATTAACAATGTGCAGCACATGGGAATACCGTGTTTCCCCGAAAATAAGACCCTGTCTTATATTTTTTTAACCCCAAAATAAGTGCTTGGCCTTATTTTCGGGGAGGTCTTATTATTTTGGGGCGCGTGGAGCAAGACGGGGCTCCTCTTGCAGTCTTACCTGATTTCCAGCTGTGTTTCCCTAACCCTAACCAGAGGAAATGGCGGGGACTGGCTGTGCATGCAGTTAAATATTTTCGGGGAGGGCTTATTTCAGCGCATGCGCTCAAAAGCCTGATTGGGTTTATTATTAGGGGATGCCTTATTTTCAGGGAAACAGGGTATGTATAAAACAGCTTTCCTTAATTGTACTGCGCTGAAAATTAACTCTTATATTTTCCTTCTTAGGTACGGGGATGATGCTGGCCAAGCTACAAATAATGCTGTGAGTTCTGCCATTAATGTTGGTGTAACAGCTTTTAATATCGACCATATTGGAATCAAAGCTATGGTCAAGAAAACTGCAAAGGAAACAGGCCACGCAGTCCTGGATGATTATAAGATTACTGAAAAAGATGAAAATAAAGCTCTACAAAAGAGAGAGAAAAAAGATGAACAATAAATCCATGCAACTGAATTGCCAAAAGCCTTAATATATATTTAAATGAAATGAATTAACAGATTTGGTATTTTTATAATCTTCAACGTCTGGACTTAATTTATCAAACTTGAAGATTAACCCTTTCTAAAAATTATTTCTCTTCCCATAATTCCAGTATTGCAGCCTCTTTCAACCCAGCGCTTTCCACGTGTGAAACCAACTTCTATCTAACATGGTACCTTAGCACATCTAGAGAACATCAGGTTGCAGAAGGCCAATTTAAATGAAAACTAAATTTGCAATAGCACTTAACTTGCACAAGGAAACATGGCTGCTTTTTAAGTTGTAAAATGCAGTATTAGAATTTAGTTTGATATGTACTGTTTTAACAACTTCTACTTAATTTTTTTCCTGAATCTTATTTAAGTTATTTCAACTGTACCTGATTTGATTAGGTAGCATATATATTTGAACTGTATTACATAAACAACTGATTAAGCTAGCAAATTCTTAAGCTAGCAAAGTCAGTTCCAATTCTAGAGAAACCAAAGATTGATATTGTCACTATTACTGTTATTAATTCACTTTAGTTTAAACCAGCTTTATGAAATTCTAGTTTTAATTGGAATAGATGGCAAAATATGATGTTGAATTGTATGAAAAAAGATTTCTGCTAAAAAAAGTAAGGGTCCATTTATGGAGGAAGAAAAAGTTTTGTACTCAATATTTATTGTAAAATCATTTATTATAAATTATTTTATTGAGAGGTCTGTATTATTCAGAAATATATCTTTTTGCCTTGTAAGAGAATGAAATTCATTTTCTGTTAGACATTTACATTTCCTTCTCTTTAATATGAAAAAAGCAGTTGCTATTAATGTAGAATTTCTAACTTTTAGAGGTTACTTCTAAACCTCTAAAATTGATATGGAATTTAATACTGGTGGTCAAATGTATAGCAAAAAGATAGTACGTTCACTGGTTAAGGAGCTAAACACTTGAAATGACTTATGAATTTAAAATTATAAATAAACTTAAGATGCATATTTTGGCTATCTTCATTTTTATTTAAATACATCCACTCCTTGTTTAATAACCAAGTTCCATTAAATAATTAAGCAAAAAAGCTAAATGAACATATGACTGAAAAGATATTGCAAAGATCACTGGTTGCTGACATTTCATTCAGTTAAATTTTGCTTCTTCAGCTATGTCAACGTTACTATCACTCTGGAATGTGTTGTCAAATACATCAAATTTGGTTAGAAATGCACAAATTGATCAAAAGTACTTTTATTTATTAGCATTGCATTTGCAAGTGGGCACTCATGTTTTAAGACCACTAGTCACTGTGTCCCTAAATGAAGAATGTAGTATAAACAAATCAATGATTATAAGTTGAGAGGCAGTAAAATCCCTGTTAAGTTACTCTTGCCAGGTTTTTAAAAAATGGAGCAAAAGCAATGAACATGTGCAAAGTGTAAGTGCAAAATAGCAATAATCTTTGGGTATTCAGTTTGAAAAACATCTTGTGCCAAATAGGGATCTTTAGTAGTGATTCTACGTTTAGCATTTGATAAAAATAAGGAAATTCGGTATCTGGATGTTATCCATACCAAATGACTACTAATGAAACTGCTTGATGTCTTCATTGACAAGACAGCTGCAGAAAACAAGGCTTGCTTTTCATTACACCAGGTTGGTGGGCAAGAATTTGTTGTAATATAGCTGAATTATCTTGGTTCAGAAGGCCATCTTAAGAAACAGAAACTGATGGCAGAAAAAGACCTAGTGGTCCATAGAGTCTGCCCTTTCCTCCTTGTTTTTATTTTATTTTTAATTTCTTTTAATGGTTTTATTTTTAAATTTTTGTCAGATGGTCATGATGGATATCTTATAAAGAAGGATGGCTATTGTTGACCTGTACTATCTGCTCATACCTTCCTTTCCTGAAGCTATCAGAGCTAAACAAGTATTTCTATCATCATGTGCACATATAGATACTGTAGGAAGTCGTCAAGATAGTACCGAGCCCTTGTAATGGACACTCTAGAGCAGGGGTCTCCAACCTTGGCAACTTTAAGCCTGGAGGACTTGAACTCCCAGAATTCCCCAGCCAGCAAAGCTTAATATATAATCATCATATCAATATCATAATCATAATATATGATCCCCTCTGGGTGTTTTGGATGTTAACTGACTTTAGTGGCTAGCAGATTATGGGAATTGAGATCCAACTCTACCTTGGGCTAGGACTCCGGGATCTCCAAACTTGGCAACTTTAAGACTTGTGGACTTCAACTCCCAGAGTTCCTCAGCCAGCTTTGCTGACAAACTTTGGGAGTTGAAGTCCTCAAGTCTTAAAAGTTGCCAAGTTTGGAGACCCCTGGGCTAGGAGATGGTTGCGTATGAATCTCCCTTACCTGCTGATCTGTTGCTTCTGTGACTGCAACTGAAATTAAGTTTTGTGCCTTAGTGCTTTTCCCCCCATCACAGTATGGAAAACTCCCGCTGAAGAGCAGGAGGCCAGGCTGAAACACAAGACCCTGTGCCCCAAAAGGTTGTACGTTTAAATCATGGCAGGACTGATAAGAACCCAGTTTTGTGTAATGGTTAAGGCAGAGGTCTTCTAAGTGGGCAGCTTTAAGTCTTGTGGACTTCAACTCCCAGAATTCCCCAGCCAGCAAAGGCTTAAAGTTGCCAATGATGGAGACCCCTGCTCTAGAAGCGCCCCCGCCCCCCGCAGGGCCGCAAAACCCGGTCGCGCGCCCTTTGCCCTTCCCAAGAAACGAGAGATCCCCCCCTCCCCCATATCATCCCTTTCTTCGGCGCCAGGGCGGGAGCTCAGCATTGTGTCGTCGCGGGAGACGGGAGTGTTCGAAAATCCCTGCCACGTGACCGGCGCTTGTCGCTCTTCCCCGCCTTTCCCCGCGCCTCTCCTGCGCGCTCTCCAAGGCAATGAGGACGCGCGGGGGCAGCGCTCTCTCTGCGTGTGTCGGAAGCCATGGGGGAAGGAGGCGCTCCCAGCCAAGAGCTAGACTTCGCAGGCGTAGAGCTAGAGCTGACTCAAGAGAAGCACATGAAGTGAGTCCTCTCGCCAGCAGCGCCGCAGATGTCTGAATGCGGATGACGCATAAACACCCGGAAAGGGGGTGGTGGGGTGGGGTGGGGGGAATGGGGGCTGATGCCAACCCAAAAGGATGCCAGAGAAAGCTGCATTATTCGAATGGAAAGAGATTTTTTTTTTGTTTTCATTGCCACGCCCTATGCACTTACCCATTCTGGAAGAGTTCTCTCCTAGAGCTGCAGCTATACGTGCAGAATAACGTTTTTTAAAAAGTTGCTGACACTAAATAGGTTGCAGTCAAAGTTAAAAGTTAGGACACTTTATAAAAGCTTCGTTGTTTTATTTCGATTACCAGAGCCCTGTAGTAGGGCTAAGAACTGTTCTTGAATTTATAGCAAAAAACAAAAATGGTTTGAATTTGGGACTTTCTGAATGTTATGTACCTGCATTACCTGAATATATTTACAGCCATGGTGTATCTTAACGACTGGACTTAAGCTACACATGTATATTAAATTTATGGAACATAATAAAATGGAAGATGGATAGTTGTTGTATGGCTCTTAACTATCCTGCAATCTGTATATGAGGCTATTTCATAAAAGTCTTGGGAAGAGGGGGAAAATGCCATGGATAAGTCGCTGTCTGATTACAATCTTTTCATCTAATTTTGAAAACTAGACCTATGTATGCTAAAATAATAGCGGGAGCCCAGCTAGGGCCTTCACCTGTGGTTGGAGAGAGAGGCATGCCACCTTCCCTCTTTTTCTCATGCCCTGCTGATCAGCCTACAATTCAGCAGTGGAGAGCAGGTTGCTGCTAGTTAATGGCAACTGGCAAACAGGAATCTGGGACAGTTGCTTTAAGTTGTACTGAGAAAAAAGGCTGAGGCTCTCTTCTCTTCCAATAAATCTCAGTGTTACAGCTATAATGTGTTTTAATGTTTTATTGGATTTTTTAAAAATATAAAAAGCTGTACTTCACTTATTCACCACCTGTGGCTCACTATAGATTTTAGCTGTAAGTGATGTATGGACATATTAACTTTTCCCTCTCCTTAGCTGCTAAGGAACTAGTCTTAGCTACCTGGGCCATATCATGAGATCTATGTTTGATTAGATATTGCCTCATCTAGACCAGGAGTCCCCAACCCCCAGTCCATGGACCGGTACCGGGCCGCAGCATGACAGAAACTGGGCCACGCAAACAAGTGAAGCCCCATCTGTGGGATGCAGGCAGCATGTGAAACCACGACCCCTCCAATCCACAGAAAAACCTCTCTCCACAGAACTGATCCCTGGTGTCGAAAAGGTTGGGGGCCTCTGATCTAGACCAATTTTTTTCCCCATACTATCTAGTCAGATGCTAATAGGATGCACACAATTCAGACCGGAGCAAAGAAAGCTTTAAGATATCTTTATACTATGCTGGCAACATCTTGGCAAAGGGAAAGTGCATGTGGAGAAATATTTGCAATGACAGAGCTAGTTTTTGTTTTCACAACTGTTGCAAGCCATGGGAAGGAATACAATTAGATCAGATCAAGGATGGATTTGAATATACCAGTATTTTAGAAGTCTTCACTGCAGCCTTGAGGGAGAGGCTGATTCATCCCTGTAAGTCCCTTTATCATTGTTGTGACAGGTAATTTCCTGTGACTTTTTTTTCTTGAGCCTTCTACTTAGCAGACAAGAATAGTGATGTATATATGAATGGTTCTCCGCTTTTCTGCTTTGGGTACTGTTCTGAATCATCAGATTCAGAACATTAAAGAGAAATATTGAAAGGCCTTTTAAAAATGCTCTTAATAGTCCTGGCTAGGCATGGAGATATTGTTATTTCTCACTTCATTGTCAAATGTATTTTAAAGACCATAATAGAACATGAGTAATATATTAGGACACAATTCTGGGGATAAAAGCTCTGGAACCCTTTGTTTGGTCATCTGCAGAGTTTAAATGTCATTTTGCATAGTAGCACCAACTCAGATCATCCATCTGTTTAACTAGCTTAATACTGAATCTCTGTATCCAACAAATGCTGGGGGGAAATATGTTTGTCATGACATCTGCTCACAATTTTATAGACTTTAATTAGTCTTGAGAGAGTATCTGATGGTACTTTTATAAGTATTATAGAATCCTGGAGATATGATGTAAAGAATTTATATTACAAACATTTATATTATTTTCATTGACCATTGGGATTTGTAATTGCCATACATGCTTTTTCTTTAATGTAGAGAAATGTTAGAACTCTCCATATTTGAAATGAACAATACAGTAGCAGAACTAGAGAAAAGACTTAACAGACCTGATGATGAAGGTAAGAGATTACATTTGACCTGAGCTAAAATAAGAGTTTTCAAGCTACCTGTGAATTAAAAATAAAAGATTTGATATATGTTTATGTAACTGTCAACTGTTACATTTCTTCATGCTCTAGAGCAGGGGTCGACAACCTGCAGCTCTAGGGCCGCATGTGGCTCTTCCATCCCTCTGCTGTGGCTCCCTGTCGTGGGTTGGCTCTACAATTGATAGGGCTTTTGGTTAGGACAGGTAGAGGAAAAAGGAGGAGGAGAAGGAGACACTATGATAGGGGAACCATACTTCTGGTCGGCTCCAGAATTGAACAGGGACTTCTGGTTAGGACCTTTGTGGCTCTTTGAGTGTTTAAGGTTGCCGACCCCTGCTCTAGAGCAAGGTGCACAGTGGCTCACGTGATTAGGATACTGGGTTGACAATCAGTAAGCCCGCGTTCGAGACCTGAGTGCTGCTGTGTGATGAGGCGGGCTCTAGCTCCTGCTGATCTAGCAGCTTGAAAGTGAGTAATCGCGAGTAGATAGATAGGCACCACTCTTTTGGGCACATTAACAGGACGTGAAAAAAGCCCCCAACAAGGTATTTCCTTGACATTAGTGATGGCACCAGCTAATTTTTAATCCGGAAGCGCCTCAGTGCTTCCAACACAAATGCATGTATGGTCTAGAGCACAGAAATACGATCTTTTTTTATATGACAGAACTTCTGTAAATAAACCACACAGCTTCAATAGCATTATCATGAGCCATGGTGGCACAGTGGTTAGAATGCAGTACTGCAGGCTACTTCTGCTGACTGCCGGCTGTCAGCAATTTGGCAGTTCGAATCTCACCAGGCTCAAGGTTGACTCAGTCTTCCACCCTTCCGAGGTTGGTAAAATGAGGACCAGATTGTTGGGGGCAATATGCTGACTCTGTAAACTGCTTACATAGGGCTGTAAAACACTGTGAAGTGGTATATAAATCTAAGTGCTATTGCTATTGCTATTATTAGCTCACACTTCTGAAGGCTGGTGTATTAATGAAAGGAAGGTTCTTTCTTGTTCATTTTTCTCTCTCCTAACCATGATAGCATAAAAACTAGTCTCTTTGGGGAAACTTTGTCTATTGGTCAAAAGACTGACTTTGATATCCTGGATCCTGGAACAAATCAGAAAACCGAATTCATCTTTCCTAATCAATTTCAATAATAAAAAGTGATAATAAAAAGTGATTTATTTATTGAACTATTTAGTTGCTCTTTACCTCCACTTTTCATTCAGATTCTCAAAATGGTATTCTACCCCTATAACAACCTATATGTTAGTTTGGACAGAGTGATTGGTCTTCTGGTGAGATATTAAGGTTTCTTCATCTGACTACTCACTTGTGTTCTTGCAATCTGGTAGTTAGCTTGCTCCCTCGTCTGTCCTACACCCGAACTCATTGGTAGCTTGACATTGCGATGAACAAGGACATACTCTCAGCCCCTCTGGAGCCGCCAGTGCTTCACCGGGCGCAAACGAACATGCACACACGAAAAGGAGGATTCGTTCCAAAACCCGGTTTAATGGAGGCAACACAGCAGCGTACAGTAGAGATTGAGCTGCTAAGCAAAACAAAGTCAGAGATGCCCTAGCTCTCCGCCTGTACTGTTTTATAGGGTGTGGATACAGTTAACTATCATTAAGCAGGCAATGATTTCTCACAGCTATCACAATCAAAGCTGCCGCTTGTTCCGTTCATACTCGTCGCAGACATAGGATGTCATTCCCCTCCGCACTATTATCTCTTCAGCAGCTGATTTACGTTCTCATTCCAACCTCCCTCTTCTTGCCTTCCGTCCATCACCCACTATTAGTGTACATGGTGTCCTAACGCAACACCCCCCTCCACCGTGTTTTGTTGCTGGAATCCTTCAGTATTCTCCGGATCCCCTTCATGGTCTTCAATACCATCCATCAAGGTGATGTGTTGTTAAGGGGCTTTTGACACTCGACACATACATTCAATTTTTCAGGTACGAAAATTATTAGCCAAGCAGATACAAAAATAGGCAGGAAAATGATTGAAGGCTGGGCAACGGGTTCAGTCAACAGGAGTGCTGATCTACCACCAGCTTATCAGGTACTTTGGAGCTAAGGATTTGGCAGCACAAGGAAACAACAGCCAATAACTGGCCATCAACACCTCAATCAACAACTAAAAAGCCACACACAACCAGGCATCACATAAATACTACGCATAGAATAGCCCAAAGCACACATTCTGGTGAGAGAGAAGTTCCTTGAGGATGAAGTCCAGCATGAATCTGAAAATTCAGAAGACTAAATTTCTGGTCCAGGTGACCAATCCAGGTTGGATCCTGAAACATTATCTTGGGACATATATATTTGCCTTCATCCGTCATATTTATTTATATCAATACCTTTGTACCCCATAAAAATTCCATTGGTATTGGCTTTTTGAAGAGGCAGTTCTCCCATGGTAGCAATCACATGGTCTCTATCTTCAAAAATACTCCTAGTCCAGAGGTAGGTTTCAGCAGGTTCTGACCAGTTCTGGAGAACTGGTAGCGGAAATTTTGAGTAGTTCGGAGAACTGGTAGTAAAAATTCTGATTGGTCCCACCCCTATTTATTCTCTGCATCCCAAGTCCCAGCTGATCGGGAGGAAATAGGTATGGAGTGGGAAGGGAATGGAGATTTTACAGTATCCTTCCCCGCCATGCCCACCAAGCCACACCCATAGAACTGGTAGTAAAAAAATTTGAAACCCACCACTGTCCTACTCCCAAAAGCTTCCTATTTCTGCATTTAGAATTACATATGATCTGGGTACCATGATTCAGCTTCCTGTAACTCACTACCTTCTAGGTGTGTTGGTGTGATGAGCAGAGGAATTGCTTTGATGGGCTTCCAAAATCCTGTTTCATTATCCTACTAGCAGTACATATTTTTCCAAAAATTAAATAGTTTTTTTTTCCTGAGTTTTCAGCCTTGCAGGGTTTAACACTATCTTGAAAGCCACTTTACTGTTTCACCAGAAAGGCATTGGATCCTGAATTCTGGACTTAGCTTTTGTTGGCAGAGCAAGTATTGTAGTGGTTGCAGCATATATAGTAGCTAAATATTACAAAATGCTGTGATGCAGTTAAGCACAGTATTTGGGCCAAGATTTACCTCAGCCATGAAGACTTATGGATTACTGCATTTTCAATTAAATTCCATTCTGGAATCCTGCTGGAGAATTTGGGGAAAGTTGTGTCCAATTCCTAACTTTCACACAAGGGTGAATTGTTTGTGGCAGTGCGGTCAGCAAGTTCTCTAGAAATTAGACAAAGGTGGCATTCTTTCTCAGGCTTTTGAAAGGAGCAGCAGACACATGGGTAGTTCTACTCACTGAAAGCAACAATATCATGCTAGACCACTCAAGATTTTAAGCAGAAGTTGAAAGCTGCCTTTAGAAAAGCAACTGTGATTGGGAAAGTTATAAATTAGGACAAGAAGGATGCTGAAGTACATAACATTTTCAGTTGAATGTCAGTAATGTCCATTATAATTTTTCCATAATCCACCAGTTTCAGGATGGTTAGTCTAAGAGATGAATTAGTGAAAGAAAGCATGCCAGAGACTCTGGAAGAGCAATTCCAACATTGTGTGGTAAGAGATGGTCAATCTGACAGAGTTGAGGCACAAATAGCTGAACAATATGAAAAGTGTCATTGCACCTGTGAAATGTTGGGTCATCTCATGAGTAAAGTTACAAATTGCTTTTAATATCTTGATTTTGGGAAACTTTACAATCCCCTCAAACAACATTCTGTCCCCCCCATCCCCCAAAACTTAAGGAGTCTTCCAATGTCTGACACTGAGTACATTTTATTATCTCCATGGTCTTTGCATCCCCACACCTCAGAAATGCAACCCTTAGTTCATTTGAGCTTAGGGGGCAAGTATTAATTTCATTGATAAAGCTATTGTTGAACAATTTGTCTTTCTATGCAAGTAAAGATAATTGATGGTAGATCCCTCCAATCAAAGAATAAATCACCACAAAAATTATTGCATGTATTTATACATGTTCCTACAGCTTTGGAGAAAGATTGGCTACAAACACCTAGTCACAATATTCACTGGGACTTTTCTCCCTCTCAGCATTGTAAACAGTACCTTTAGCAAATCTTGGGCTATTTTCCTACTATCTTTACTTTACCTGAACCTGCCACCTGCTTGAAAAGGAGCTGTGAGTTCAGAAAAACCCCTCAATTATGCACCAATCGCAAAGAATATCAAAGCTAACACCAGCCAGAGCATAGAAAAACTCAAAGAAGTAGTGCGAGATTGGAAGATGTGGGGAGACCAGGCCCATAGAATTGCCAATACTCAGACACAGCTGAATGGATATCATCATCACCACGCAAAGAAGGCAGTACAGTCCCATTCAGAACCTAGGATGGAATCACTCCAGACCAGTGGGAGAAGAGGGAAGGTCCAAAGTCTTATCAGAATTGGGCCTAATCCAGTTCTGACTTCTCCAACCACCAGGGCAAGATCTTGACAGCATTACCTGGGATTGGGATACATAACTGGGTATCATCAGCATACTGATGAGACCAGATCCTAAACCAATGAATGACCTCATCTAATAACATCAGGCAGATGTTTATCAGAAGTGATATCAGTGAGTTTGAGCTGCTCCATACAAGAAGGGCCTCTGATCAGTCTGTCCCTGTCCTACCAATATCAACTGGATCTGACCATAGGGAAAGAAGAGAAGACTGGGACACCTTAACCCTCATTCATAATCCCACAGGCATTCCAGAAGAATACTATGCTAAATAGTATTGAAATCTATCAAGAGATCAAGTAGAACTAGGATAGTTGCACTACCCCCCCCATCCTCTATTTTCAGAAATCATTAACAAACATGGCCAGTGCCAATTTAGTACTATGCCCCAATCTGAAACCAGATGGAAAAGGATTTAAATAATCTGTATCTTCTAGGATCCTCTGATGCTGCAGCCTTTATCATTTTCTCAACAATTTTTCTCGGAAAGTAAAAGTTGGAGTCTGAATTTTTATTTTATTTTATTTTGTCAAGTACATATTAGATAATATATATAAGTATAAGCATGAATTGAATACATAAAATGAATACAATTAAAGGGAACATTAGGACAGGGACGGTAGGTACGCTGGTGCTCTTATGCATGCCCTTTACAGACCTCTTAGGAATGGGGTGAGGTCAACAGTAGACAGTCTTAGGTTAAAGTTTTGGGGGTTTGGGGATGAGACCACAGAGTCTGGTAGTGCATTCCAGGCATTAACAACTCTGTTACTGAAGTCATATTTTCTGCAATCGAGTCTGGAGCAGTTCACTTTAAGTTTGTATCTATTGTGTGCTCGTGTATTGTGGTTGAAGCTGAAGTAGTCATTGACAGGTAGGACATTGTAGCAGATGATTTTATGAGCTATGCTTAGGTCATACCGAAGGTGGTGTAGTTCTAAATTTTCTAAACCCAGAATTTCAAGTCTGGTGGCATAAGGTATTTTGTTGCAAGCAGAGGAGTGGAGGACTCTTTTTGTGAAATATTTCTGGACGCGCTCAATCAAGGAGTGGAGGACTTTTTATCAGGTTCGCCTGATTCGCCAGTTGCATCCCTTTCTGGATCGGGACTCGTTACGCACGGTCACTCACGCCCTTGTCACCTCACGCCTGGATTATTGTAATGCTCTCTACATGGGGCTCCCCTTGAGAAGCACCCGAAGGCTCCAACTGGTCCAGAATGCGGCCACGCGGGTGGTAATGGGAGCAATGTGGCGCTCTCATGTAACCCCCCTCCTGCGCGAGCTGCACTGGCTCCCAGTGGTCTTCCGGGTGCGCTTCAAGGTTTTGGTTACTATCTTTAGAACGCTCCATGGCTCAGGACCAGGGTACTTACGAGACCGCCTCCTGCCACCAATAGCCTCTCACCGACCAGTTCGCTCCCATAGAGAGGGACTCCTCAGGGTGCCGTCGGCCAAACAATGTCGACTGACGGCCCCCAGGGGAAGAGCCTTTTCTGTGGGGGCACCTACCATCTGGAACGGGCTTCCCCCGGGGTTAAGAAACATCCAAGACTTACGCATATTCCGCCGTGCTCTGAAAACATTTCTATTCCAACAAGCTGGTCTGGCCTAACTCTCCCTTTTTAATTGGCTTTTAAACTGGCTTTTAAATTGGGTTTTAAACCTCTTTAGATAAATTTGGATGTTTTTTAATCTTTGAGCCTAAATTACTTAATCTGTTTCTTAATAGTTTTTAACTTCTATATGTATTTGTATTTATTATGGTTGTTCACCACCCTGAGTCCTTCGGGAGTAGGGCGGTATACAAATATGAAAAATAAATAAATAAATAAATAAATAAATAATAGATAGATAGATAGATAGATAGATAGATAGATAGATAGATAGATAGTATTAATGTCCGATATGTAGTGCAGGTTCCAGACAGATGAGCTGTATTCAAGAATTGTTCTAGCAAATGTTTTGTATGCTCTGGTTAGTAGTGTAATATTACCAGAGAAGAAGCTACGCAAGATTAGGCTTACAACTCTTAATGCCTTTTTGGCGATGTTGTTACAGTGGGCTTTGGCCACTAATAATTACTAATTATTAATTATTAAATAATAATTACAATTATCCAGGATAGTCAGGTTCAGCGAAAACATCTTGAGGTGCGGGCATACCACCACCTCATTCAAGGCAGAAAACACCACCTCCAAGAAGCAGGTACTCCAAATTAATCCAAAAGATTTTGTCTGCCAGACATTGGGCCAAGGCTATCCTAGCTAAGATGGTTTGTTTGCTCTAGTGCTTCCTTTTCCTGCTGCATTATGGGACACGTTTTCTCTGGAATTGATTACTGTTCTCCCAGAAGTGTTATGGTTTTACAACCATTCTAGTGATAGTGTATCTGTTTACAAAGATGACTCATTTTATTCCATGTAAGAGGCTACCATCTGCTCTGGAAACTTCACAGCTGTTTCTAGGCCACATTTTCCACTACAGTACAGGGACTCAATTAATCATGTGATCTCAGATTGCAGCTCCCGATTTATATCCCACTTCTACTTATTGGACATTCCTATTCATCTAACAGTGTCTCATCATGAAGGGAATCAAATGGGCAGATGGAGAAGAGTAATGTGATATTGTGCTGCTATTTATTCTATGAACATGACAATTAGCCTGATCTCTATTCCACTATTTGCAGAATTTGAGTTTATCAACCTTCTGTGTTCTTTCACTGGCATATCTTGCTCCCAAGCAGTTTTTGGATATAATCCACAGCATTTGCCTTCCATGGTTCTTTGTCCTTCTACAGTTCTTCGAGCCTCCAAGAGAGGCAGATAGCCTCTTAAGGGAACAACTGGCTTTGATCATGGCTGCATATAAATGGATATATTGACACCTTTGTTAAGGAAAGAGCAAAGCAAAAGATTTTCATGGCCTTTATAAAGACAACTGCCATAAATAGAATACAAGTGATAGGAATGGGGACTTGTGAAGCTATCTTATATAAGAGTATAACATAGGTTAATAATATTAAGCTAAACATACCAAATTATTAAGCTTGAAAGAAACAAACCAGTGTTTGTTTGTTTCTTTCCTGCATTACCAGGATAGAACTGAGATGTTCAGCTAAAATATGAGTTTCATCAGTGGGCTTGAAAGTTCTTCTCAGTATCAGGGGAGTCAAGTTTATCCATTTATGAGTAAAAGGAGGAGGCTGTTCCTTCTTCAGGTCTTTCATTCTCTCCTGTCGTGATACAGATTTAGTTAGCATTATTTTTTAAGTTACAGAAAAGAGCCTTGGTACTACAGTGGTTTAAAGCACCCTGTTATTAACACAGCTGCCTGCAATTTACTGCTGGTTCGAATCTCTCCAAGGCTCAAGGTTGACTCAGCCTTCCATCCTTTCTAAGGTAGGTTAAATGAGGACCCAGTTTGTGGGGGCAATAAGCTGACTTTGTATAAATATACAAAAGTATGAAGGCTATTGCTGAATGCACTGTAAGCCGCCCTGAGTCTCCGGAGAAGGGCGGCATATAAATCAAATAAAAAAAAAAAAGAATTTTAGCAAATTTTTAAAAGATATTTTAGTGTGTTCAGATTTTAACATATTTTATTTATTTGTTTGTTTGTTTGTTTGTTTGTCAGATTTATATGCCGCCCTTCTCCCGTAGGACTTGGGGCGGCTCACAACAATAAAACAACCCAACAATAGATAAAAATTAAATAATATTAAAAACCAATTTAAAATCCCCAAATCCCCAAGTTAAAATCCACGGCAGATCAGGGAAGTTGCTGAAAGAGCCATGTCTTTAGGTCGGCGCAGAAGGTGCGGAGGTCGGGGGCCGTCCGGAGCCCGGTGGGCAACCCATTCCAGAGGGTCGGTGCGACCACAGAGAACACCCTCATCCTGGGGACCGCCAGCCGACACTGTCTGGCCGAGGGGACCCGGAGGAGGGCAGCCCTATGTGAGCTCACTGGGCGGTGGGAGGCTGATAGGAGGTGATCCTGCAAATACCCCATCTATCTATATAAATAGATACTTATCTTTTCTTCTCTTAGATGCAAAAATTTATAGTTATAATATTGGAAGTATTGTGACCTGCTGAAATAATCAGCAGTAAATATAACAGTTTGTTTTTGTTTAAGACAGTGAATGGAAAACCAGATATGAAACCCAAGTAGAATTGAACAAAAAACTAGAAGGGCAGATTGAATTTCTCCGAGGAAAGATGGAGCATCTTGGTGGCAACCCAACAGGTATAGGTCTTGTTATTATTTTGTCATGATAATTTTGACAAAGATTTTCAATATTTGCATATTGTTTATCAGCGGCTTATTTATTTTTCTTCTTTTTAGACAAACTGGCTTCTATTCGCTCCTTCGAACAAATGCATCCAGTAAGTAAATATACAGATAAGCATAAATATTTCTTAGACCATATCATGATTTGAGGCTGTCAGTTTTCTGACTCATCTTAATTTTTAGTATTAGTCAGTCAGTCAAATCAATCGCATTATATTTTCCCAGCTTGTTACTATTTCATTTATATCTCTTCAGCTGTTATTGTACTGGAACATCATGACATTAAAAACCAACAAAAGAATGCAAAAAGAATAACTAAATAGATAATGGTATCTAAGGACAATCCAGCCAAGTGCATACAACAGTCATATTAAAAATCACATTGGTAGGCTCATTCAAACTCCAGACCTCAGGAATATTACAGGTCTTCAAGGATTTAGAAAATTCCAGAAGGGAGCCAAGTGAATGAAGTAATTATGATACCACAATAAGCTTCCATCAAGGCCCAAAGGACCCATATTTACTGTGTGTTTTCAAAATGTTTCATTGCTCTTTATGGTATAGTCATTACTGTGATCAATATGCTCAGTAGACAAACAGAATTATAGAAAAGACAGTAACAATGCTTGCAGAGGAAAGGTTTAGAATATACATTCGTGTGTTTGTACGTTAAAAGTGAAGGCAGATAAATAGTTTTTGTAGGGTTGTTATAGAGAAGTACATGAACCAGAAAATACATTTTGTTCCATGCACAAAAGAAACATGTAGCAAATTGAAAGTCTGGTCAAACTATTTGAGGAGGGGCAAAGTTTGGTCATATTGAAACATGGAATGTTTTGTTTGTTCTGGGTTTTGTCTGAACTCAAGAGATGTTTTATGGATGAGTAGGGGCTATGCACCAGTCCTCCAACCAATCCTTCCAGTGGCTTACCTATTTACTGCCACATTTGAATTTAAGCATGGTCCACTTGACTGATCCATCTACCTTTTTCCCACTTCCAAGTCCCTTCCTTCTTTGTAGCTACCTCTCCACTGATTTTCCCAAAGCATGTCTTCTGCTTACCTCTGTTTAATCACTATGACATAGCATCATCCATGCTGTCTCTCATCTCAGAATACTTCTATCCAATATATTTGTATTTGAGGGAGGTGTAGATCTAAACCAAACCAAACATGTATGTTTCAGTCTGCACATGTACTACTGGATACTGTCTGTTCCATATGTAGAATATTTTATGCATAAGTAGAAATTTCAATCAAAAACTTTCCCATATCTCATTGTTTAATTGGAGAACCTGAAAGTCTTTTCTGGATAGATTGAGGCTTTTCTGAGACTTTTAAAGGTTTCAGAACACCACTTCCAACCCCTCAGAACTCATTTAAATATTCCTGAGTTGTGTTTGTTTTGTACTGGACACAAACATTTTTTTAAAAACTCAACACTTTTCTTTTAAAACTTTCTGAAAGTTCTTCAGGTTTCTTGTGTGAATAATTTTATAACTGAAGGAAATTATTTAATTGTTACTTACTATTATTCATACTTATAGTAGAATCATGGCATCAGAATAAACTTTCTACAGAAGTTGGTTCCCCCCACATTTCGGTTTTCTCATAATGTCCAAATATGCTGGATATCTTCCCAGCAATATGGAGTGGAACAGATAAACATGCATTCAAGAACAAGACTTTCTGATTATAGAAAAATTGAGAAGCCATTGCAAAAGAATTGCAGCAATTGTTGTAATTCAAATATTAGTTCTACTTATACTGCAAACAATACTGAAATTCTTAAGTTTTTTTTCCCTGCCCTTCTTTGTAAAAAACTACAAGTGACTCTTTTATGGGACAGAGACAGTTTCTATCTGTTTGTTATTTTGGAAATGGCCAGATTAAGTTTCAAGTAGTTTGCTTTCACAGTGTGACAACTTGCTTTCATAAAAACTATCTTGGGTATTCCCACAGATATTTTACCTGCAAAAGGCAATATTCTTTGTTTAAACAAAAATGAATGCACTTAAGGCACCATTGGGTTAAGCATACAATTCTTTAATGGTAATGAAAATTCTTGGATGATAAATAAGGAAGCAGATTGCAAAAGGTCATGATTTCTGTTTACTCTAAGAAAGCAGCATATTTTTGAATATTTTTTCCCCTGTGTTTTAGGCTGTTGATTCTTAAGTAAACTTTTATTTCTAAGGACATCCTTTCAGCTTGTTTTCTTCTAAAAGTGTAACCGAGTAGGAATCTAGAAGTATGGTTCAAGTCAATGGAAAAGAACTGATAGGCATAATAGATATGCAGAATTTGATTTGCTTGTTCAGGTTGGATGGTGGCACCGCTTTGTGCTAGTATCAAGGGCAATTCAAGGCCTTTCTTGCTGTGAACTAGATCTAATGGGAAAGTTATTTCATGCCCCATATGTTTTATTTTATAGAGACTAATTATCAAGCAGTCATATTGCAATCCTTTGAAGCATGCTTTGTTGCACTATAAATGTTGCTATAATTAAGAAAGATTGCGGGAAATGTGTAAAATGTTCTTTAGGAATTAAATTTGTAGCAGAGCAAACTAATCTTTTACAACATGTTGCTAATAGTAAAACAATAGAGAAAGACTGGTATATAAACGAAGTATTGCATTGTTTTTATGGACACTATTTCAATAGCACCATCTTCAAAACATTCTTATCAAAAATTGCTGGAGAAGTTGGGTGTATGATATAAATATTACCGTAATTTATTGCTTTCTATAAGGCTAGATCTCATAAATCCTTTGTATAGAATCTGGATTTCAAGGAGGAGAATGACTAAGATAATAATAGCCCAGTCCTTGCTGATACTACTCATTTAAGCTTACGTCCATACCCTATTCATTCAATGTTTTTAGACTGATTATAAACTGACAATTAGATTTCAAACAAATTAACTGGGTAATCTCCGTGTATCTGACCACAGGTGGTTTTTTTTTTTTTACTTATACCCAAGTAAGTGGGCTTCAAAACCGAAAAGAACTAAAACAATCACACAGGTCCTTAGGCAACACACATGCACTCAAAGGCTAATACTGCTCACTACTTCATTCTTTCCCTCTTCTGTTGCACCTTCTACTGTTCCTCCAGCTACTACATCTAATGAGTCTTACTGCTAGAGAACAGTATCTCTTTATATCTGCTTTAGAAACACACATGCCTCCTTCCATCTTTTCCAAACCCCACCACTCCCAGCTGCCTCTTTGTTCAGCTTTTATAGCCAACAATTGTTGTGCCTGCCTAGGGTGAGGACTTAAAGCATGGGTCTCCAAACTTGGCAACTTTAAGATTTGTGGACTTCAACTCCCAGAATTCCTCAGCCAGCTTTGCTTTGCTGGCTGAGGAATTCTGAAGTCCAGAACTCTTAAAAGTTGCCAAGTTTGGAGACCCCTGACTTAAAGGGACAGGACAATAGCAGCACAGGTGTTGGCCACTTTGTAGGCAGTGTGCTGTCTGACGTATCTGTTAAAAGACTCTCTTCAGCAATATTCTTTAAATTATATGTGGGGGAGGGTTTTGAAATAGGGTGTAGAGTTTTGTTAGAAGGAACAAGGTATATGCAAACGGGGTAGTCTTGATTGGATACCACTATTGGCTAGATTAAGTCTGCAGACTGGCATTCCCTACACAATACAAAGGCTCTGTATTTTTCATTGAATCATTAGGAAAAATAACATTATTTCCTTATTTTTCACCTTAAGTATGAGATAGCAAACTTCAATTTACCTTTCCTGAATACCTTCGTTGTCTCATTAGCCAATAGGGTTTTTTTAAAAACAATTATTCATTCTGCATTCCATTTCTGAGATCATATAATAAACAGGATTTCTAAGTCCACTTTCTCTTGTGTCATATTTGTGCTGGGGGAAACTATTTGAAGCCTCGCTGAGCAGATATATGCCTCAATATGCCAAATAAGACTTTGCTTCAAGAATAAGTGACAAGAACTCCAAGGCTAAAGTAATAAACAGTGTTCTGTTTATGTGTTGAATATAGTCATTTTGTTATAGAAGCAGTTAAGCTGCATTGAATACTCTTTCTGGCATCTAAACGGCTTGGCATCTGGCATCTTTTTCAGCCTTTTCCCACTCTTCATCTAAGACTGTAAACCATAGGCAAACGTGATTTGAACAGATGCAGCATTTCCCCATCATGATTTTGTTCCTGGGTATTTAATGTTTTGCTTGGTACTGAATTTTTGAATGCTGTTTATAAACCTTCATTGACGCAATAAAGATACTGCTTAATATAGAATTCTACTTTTTTTTGTAAAGCTTATGTAATCCACCAGGGGGCACATTGTATTTACAATATATATCGGTATGTACCAGGCTTTAGAGGAGTCTTTTGTCTCTTTGACAGGTTGGCCACGATCAAGTTGGGCAACATTAAACATTCCTCTGCCCCGCAGGTCTTGGTGAAAGTCATGGGTTTTGAAATACTTTTCTATTAGCTGTACTATGCCTATTCTATTTTCAAGTTTCATATTTAGAGAAACTCCCTTTTTACATACATACATACATAGCCAGCATGTTGTCTTCTTTTGGAATAAGGAACATTATGCAAATTACAAAAAAGGAATATTAAATAGTAAGCCGTAGGAATGTAGGCATGAGTTAAGGAAAGGAAATGTAGCTAAATCTATTTTACGCCACTATTCACTATATTGCTCCATTCCTTTCTATCTTTGCAAATTTATTTATTTATTTAATTGGACTTATATGCCACCCTATCTCCGCAGGACTCAGGGCGGCTTACAACAATAAACAAAAACAAACAAACCGTTAAAAACAAAGTTCATGATAAAATTAACAAAAAATACAATAAAACCCCATTAAATTCTATTAAAAAACCCCTCAGTCTAGGGTGGCTAGATGGAATAGCCACATTTTCAGCCCACGGCGGAAGGAGCGAAGGTCGGAGGCCACCCAGAGCTCCAGAGGGAGTTGATTCCAAAGGGTGGGTGCGCCTACAGAGAAAGCTCTCTCCCTGGGGGTCGCCAGCCGACATTGTCTGGCCGACGGCACCCTGAATAGGCCCTCCCTGTGAGAGCGCACCAGGCGATGG